CGTTGACCCCCCCCCCCCCCCCAACAACGGAGCTCGTAGTCTGAGCTCATAGCCATGTTGCAGCAAGACTGAATCTTCATCAGAAGGGAGGCCTCCAGAATGCTTCAGTCAATCCAGCCCGTACCCGCATCGAGCAGACTGAACAAAGCTGACACCAATAGTTTATGCTTCATAGCACAACAGTCAAGCCGTGGATCTCTCCTCCTCCTTGATTGCATCGAACCCAGGGCGTCTGCCTTTGCCAGCTCAAGAAGGCTGCTGCACACCATGTCCTATTCCACTCTCAGCCCCAGACACATGCAGAACCCTGCCTCTTCTTGCCTCTTCCTCCACAACCTCCTCGTCATCACTGTCCACCGCTGGCTCCCATCCAGCCATCTTTCTCAGCACTCTGTTCTCTTCTTTCAAGCCAGCAATCCTCCGCTTGTATGGCATACCCTCCTCTTGTCGCGCCTTCATAGCCTCTCGTACATTCTCGCTAACTCTCTGTAAGCTTGCCTGCCAAGCTTGATGTGTCAATTGTGCTTCCACAGTCTCACTGCGACTCTGCGACAGTAGAGTAGTGTAGTGCTGATGCAGAGCGATGATATGGTTCTGCTGCTCGAAGCAGTACTGCCGTATGCGCTCCGTGGTATCGGTAAGCGTCTCTTCGTACAGTCGTTGCAGGCTGACGTGGTCGTTGTACGTGTTTCGCATGGATTCGAGCTGGAGGTTTGCGCGCGCAAGAGAGTCAGAGAGTTGGGCGATGGTGGGTTGATCGCTCTCTGGTTCCGCTGTAGCGTTAAAGATAGGTCAGTGGCAGGTATGCGGTGCGGGTGCGGGTGCGGCTGTTTGGGGCAGACGTACATGGAGGGTCGCCATTGAGCAGCGGTATCTGGCCATTCTGAGCCAGTCTGCCCTACGGAACACACTGTGAGTTTTTGCTAAACAGTTGAAAGTGAGAGGCAGCAAGTATAAGCAAGAGTGAAATGCGATGATGCTGCTGCTATGCAATTGCTGGCCCAAGGTCGCTTGCTAAAAGCCAACCGAGACATGCGCACGCTGTGGGGATATCGTACTTGTAATCGCTCAACTCTTGCAATGCCATCCTGAACCTGTGCCCAATCCTGCCGGTTCTGCTCTAGCCAACCACTCAGGCTTTCCATGTTCTGCATCAATGTCTGCATGTCGCTGTAATGACCTGCTGATGGCATGATGCCTCCATTCATGCCTGTGTACATGGCCGAATTCTGTCCGCCGACTCCATTCTGGTTGGCCATGTCGTGTGATGTCGCGTCGTTCTGTCCGCGCCGGTCTGTCCGTGTCACTCTGTTGTCACTCTGTTCCTGCCGTTCTGTCCCTTCTTCTGATCTGTATCTTCCTGCGTGCGTCGTGGTTGGTGTTCCGTTATGAGCGCGTCACAGATAGGCGACTACGAAGGAGACCAGTCGAGAGCCGCGCTTGCTGGCAATTCCTCGTCGATGTGGTAGACCGTTCGCGGAGTGCTTGGACGTCTCGGCCTTGCTTCGTCGGGTGTGTCTCCCTCAACTGTACTAGCAGCAGCTTGTTCTGTGTCTTCCTGAGAAGTGCTGGCAGTGGCAGTGGCAGTGGCAGTGGCAGTGGCGGCGGCGGCGGTGGTGGTGGTGGTGTTGCTGCTGCTGGCAGTAGCTTCCTCTGGAGGTGCAGGTTAGTTAAGTGCTAGGTGCTAGCGCCGGCATCGGCCGCCGGACCCACTTTGAAAAATAGGGGTGTGTGTTGGATAAAAGAAACATACCTGCTGTCGCTGCTGCTGCTGTTGCTGCTGCGGCCTTCTTCTGCCGCTCTTCCTCCTCCATCCAGGTCATCCGCATTGGGATGCCGCTGGCGGGCCCGGTGATGTGGATTTGACCCGCTTGCGCGGGTCTCCGAGGCAGGAAGCTCCTCCTCATCTCCTCCATCTCTGCTCGTCGGTCAAACGGTCTCTCCGCTGGGGGCGGGAAAAAAGCGGCGAGGTTGTTGGGGTGCCCTGGGAGATGATCAGTGTCTAGATGCAAGTGAAGTGCGATTATCTAGTTTACCAAAGTGCTGGGCATAGCCCCCGACGCGGGGCTCCTCGCTCGTCTCTTCTTCTCGTGGTGGTGGTGGTAGTCCTGGCTCGAAGCTGCGCGGGCGGATCAGTCTGCCATCTTCTCTAGAACGGTACATTTCACTGCCCAGGAGGGACACGCCGCCGTCAGACTCGTCGTCTTCATGTTCATCGCGCGGCTTGAATGCGCGTGGTCCAGAGACGGCATTCTTTCTTGCATGGCCTCTGAAATGGACTGGTCGGTATATCGGTGGCGCGACAGTGGCTTCTGCGGCAGTGGCTTTGGGCTCGTCGTCTTCACACGGGCTAGGTGTGTATTTGCGCGGCGGGCGCTGGAATTGGTCGGGGCCTTGCATGCCTTGGACGAAGGCAAAGTGCCGCCGCAATTTGGTTACTGGAGGGCGGAAAAATCAGCAAACAATATTCGGTTTGGGGCGATGTTGATGGAGAATGGTGAGTGGGGAGGAGAAGTGCGTTGTGAAATAGGCAGAACGTGAGGTGTGGAGCACGCGTCGCCGTTCAGTGAATGTTGATATGACGTGCTCGGCCACACAAACATCAATACATACAACTTGGCATCTCTGGCAATTCATCTGCAGTATGCCCATCGTTCGCTCGTGGAGGTGGGCTTCGCGGTAGTCCACGAGAAGAGCTGGAGCCCAATGACGATATGGAGAGTCGAGCTGGTTGCACATTCTCCCCAGAACTCGGCATCGGCCTTCCCAGGTCATCGTCCTTACAGAAAGTCGCGCTGGTCCTGGAGATCTGTCGTTGTTGCTCTTCGATCTCTGCTTGGCTCGGTCTTCGCGGTCTCTGTAGTGTCAAAACTCTGTCAATTGCTGCTTGTGCTGATTCGCCTTTTCTGGCTATTGGCGTCATCGTCAGGGACTTCTTGAGGTCTTCCAAAGTGCTTGACTTTCCTCCCTGCAGATTTGCAGACTGCGTACTGCTCGCGGACCGGCCACTACGCGTGCGCCCGATGCCTTCGACTGTAGTTCCAATGGAAGGAGTGGCCTTTGGTGTAACCCAGCCTCTCCAATTTTCATCAAGCCCAAGTCGAGCCCGATTACTCATGCTCCTCGGGCTGATTGGGCTCTCACTGCCGCCACCATAGGACGTCCGCGGTCTGCTTGAGCTACTTGCTGTCAGGGAGAAAGACGGGTCGAGTAATTGTTCAGCTACCACGTGGTCGGGGTCTCCAAGTATTGTCGATGATGAAGGCGATGTCGGCACTGCATGATCTTCTAGATGTGGTCCAGAATGGGAAAGGTTAGTTATTCCACCAAATGAGATCTTGCGGCGTTCTTTAAGTGCCTCGAGACCGCCACGATCTGGCTCGGATGCTGCCACATGCTTAGAGCGGGCACCTAGAAGCAGTTCGTGATTCCGTAAAGCGGGAAATTGAAGATCGGAAGATTGAAGAGCGGGAAACTTTTCTTTCGGTATAAGGGTTGCAGGTCCTGAAACTGAAGCCGGCAGGGGTTCATCAAACTGCGCTCCGAGGTGAGAGCTCTGCGGTGTAATGTCGATGACAGTAGAGTCAGTGTCCGAGGTTGCGTTTTGGCCAAGCTGGCTAGCGGGTGCATCTTCTGTGGTCTTGGGCGTAATCAAAAGGGTATCTCTTCGTTCCAGTCCATCCGGGGTACTCAAGCTGCTCCGCTCTGGCGTAGTATCATCGAAGTCTTGACTCTCAGCTTGCGGCACACTGGGAGACGGCGAAAGGGTTGCTGTGCGTCTCGGAAGAGACTCTTCCAGCAGTAGCTCCAATGGGTCTGGACCACTCGGTAATTGGGATGTCATGAAGACGATGGTACCCACTCCCGGGTGTCCAGGCAGATAATCTCGGCACGCCTTCGAGAGCTGCAACTTCAATTGCTGGTCATCCGACGTTCCAGCAGCCCACTATGTCATTGGTGTCGAATTCGATGCTGATGTAACAGTCGAGTCCGCAGGGATCAGCTCTGGCATGAGTTCGTCACCAATGTCGTCGAGGGCCTCACAGGTGATCTCCCAAATGGCCCGTACCAGCGAACATGGTGGCGAGGTGCTTGAAGACAATGGGCTTGAGTGGTGATCCATCCCTCTGCTGACGGTGCTTGCAGGATGATCGGATAGGCATGCTGATTGTGACAATGTACTCCGCCTCAACTCCTGGCTGGCACCTGGGAAAAGCGGCCTGGAATCAGCTGCGACTCCGTCTCGAAGGCTGTTCTTCTTGCTGTGCCTTTTTATGCGATATTTTGGACAGCTCTGGGCTCCTAAATGCACGGAGAGAGCGATATCATGTTCAGAAGGATCTCGTGATTCGTAGGTTCTGAGGCTGATTGTGGCAGCCATCGAGTTCAGTGTCTACGAGCTCAGTTCGTGCTCTGTATCGACAGTTGCACTATCCAGAATCAGCACGCACGCATGTATCGATGGGAGAACGAAGCAGTTCCCGGCAATTCGCTTCAAGTTTGCACGTACCTGGATAGAGCCGCTGGTGGTGAGATGCCTAAAGCTGCAACTATATTCCTGCTGCGTCCGTATGTGGTGAAATACCGCTGTAACGTGTCAATGCTACAGTAAAGCGGTGCTGAATCCGTGGTGTTTGCGTGGACATCGCACGCAACAGATAGCAAGAGATTATCCCCATCTTCGCTCGGGCAGTCACCTCAAATCCGCCTGCCTAAGGTACCTATGTGACGCCTTCCTCAAGCCGTGCAGACTCGCCATGACCTCCACTCACGTTCTGCTCGAACCACCCGTCCTGCGTCTACCTCCTTCAATGTTATTGTGACACCAAACAACCTTTGATGACCCAGCGCACATGCAATTGGGATACGAAACTATGAAACAGCCAATACTTTGGGCCGACGACGATCGCTTCGTTTGGTATTGCCAGACTGAAAGCTGGCGCGCGACCACCGCAGCAGGCACTCGCTAAAGCTTTCTCACTTACAACTGCGCTGGCATTACGGTGGCTCTTATCGTGAATTGGGCCGGTGAGTGCCAAACAACAGAAGTGGCAACTGATCTTGCCTTCTCACTTTCCGTCTAGAAGCACAAATCGACGCTCTACTTCCCTTGCTTCCACGTCTTCTTGGAAGATGAGCCTCACCATGATGCCCTTGTCATTCGCGATATCCTTGGCCTTCCAAGGCTCGCTGACTTCCGCTTTGTAGAATGTGGTCGTATCCGGATACTGAGCGATGACTTGTTTCTTCGCTGGCAGATCTTGCAAGCCTTTATTGCTCTCTGGGATCTGTAGTAGCTGGGCGACCGATGCTCGTTGTGGTGGCGGCGGCTCTCCCAGCGTATCCGCGTCCTGCACTTCATACCGTCGCTGCTTTCCTTCGCCGATCACAGCCGTAACACGACAGAGGATGCCCTCTCCCTCGGGGAGATTTTTGGGATTAGCACTCTTCATGTCATGCCGACAGAACACGACCTCGTTGAGCCTAAGAACAAGCCGATTCGACGGACGATTACTTGACGAGCCTTTGCTAGGGCCCGCTGCCGTGGAAGTGCCGTCAGCACTACTGGCGACAGATTCTGCGCCATCCTCGATCTTGACAGACGCCTCGCGCGTAGTAGCGATACTGCCAGATCTCGAGGTCTTCTCCTTTGCAGTAAGTCGAGGTCCAAGATTGATCCTGGGCGACGGGGCAGCAGATGTGTCGTCAATCTCTTCAGTGGTGACAGCTATGGCCGATCCTGGCTTGCCACTGACCTTCTTGGGCGCACGAGAGAGCTTCCCGCTGGCAGAACGATGTGACTGACTGGCCTGCATCTGAGCTGCATGCTCTTGAGATGCTTCTCGAAGTCCAGCAAGGATGTTGATACTGTCGAGTAAATTCGTATCGTTTGACTTGCCTTCCACAATCTGAGACACCTCTTCGCAGATTTTGACGTTCTCGCGGTAAAGTTTCTCTAATAGCTCGTCGAGCACAGGATCGCTTGGTTTATCTGCATCCAGCAAGGCGGCTTGTTGAGTTTCTGCCTTGAGAATCTCATGACCAATGTCGTTGGAACGAGCCTTTGATTGTTAGCACAACACAATAGCATGCACAGATACACTTCGCAGACGAGAAGGTGAAGGGGGATTCGAACATACCACCATCACATCGACATCCTTCGCCTTGTCCTTGATCTCCTTCCATAGACGGCGCTCCTCGTCTGCGTCTTGATTAGGATTTGCGCGCGCTCTGTTTCGGGCAGACATATCCGGTGAAGTTCTGTTACGACTTGAGCATGCTGGTGAAGTGGTGAATCAATGGTATGGATGGACGTGAAGTGGTAGTTGTCAGAAAGGCGGCAAGGTTGTTGTGACTTGGAGGTGTTATTGGCCCCTGCGAGCCTTGCGAAATTGCGGGACCTGCCGCCATAGGCCGCACGTGTCCCGTCTACCCGTATGCCCTGTATAACAAGTGACAAGTGACAAGTGACAGGTCCACTGTCCATACATACCTTACTGTCCCTTGATCTTGACCACCTCGACAACTCAACGAGCTGACCAGAGAAACCACCTGACTGCCAAGACATATCGCACGAAGCCAATATGCAAGTTCCACTACTCCGACTGCAATGCGGTGAGTGCTGGACAGCCACATGCAACGCCCGAATATTCATGGCCACAATCCTAACTGGTACCAGGCTGCAACAGCTATGAATGGGGCAAGGTTGGCAACGACTCGGCCGCTGCTCGCTATGCTGCTTCCACTCCATCGAATGACTTCTCAGTCCAGCAAGACAAGCCATATGCAGAAGTCGGTACACATCTTCGGCAGCGTCAGAGGCTGAACTGATGGTATACAGCTATGGATGGGCACACACCCTTCCAATCCGTCAAAAGACCTTTCGACTGGCCGCACGCTTCTTGATCTGGTGCAAGACAACCAAGCATTGATGTCTACGGCCATCTCCAAACGCTATGGACAGAAGTTGCCATTTCTGTTCAAAGTATTGAGCATCAATAAAGCTCTGTCGATTCAAGCCCACCCAAACAAGAAGCTGGCGGAGCAGCTGCATGCCCAGGATCCAGATCACTACCCCGACGACAACCACAAGCCTGAAATGACCATCGCCATTACACCTTTCGACGGTCTTTGTGGCTTTCGGCCATTAAGTGAAATCGCACATTTTTTGAAGAACGTGCCCACGCTTCGACAGCTCGTCGGCGAGGAGATTGCCGGCGATTTTGAGAAGACCATCGAAGGCCAGGACACCACCGATGACAGCGAAAAGACCCAGCAGAACAAGAAGGCACTCCAAGCGGCATTCTCCTCGTTGATGAACAGCTCCTCAGACGACATCCAGAAAGCCGCAACGGAACTCATCTCGCAAGCCAAATCCGAAGGCTCCAACTTTGCCGGCTCAGGAGTCTCCGCCACCTCTGGCCAAGAACTCGCCGACCTCATGATTCGCCTCAACTCCCAATTCCCCAACGACATTGGACTCTTCGTCACGTTTTTCCTCAACTACGTCAAACTGTCCGTCGGCGAAGCCATGTTCCTCAAAGCCGATGACATCCATGCCTACCTCTCCGGAGACATCATCGAATGCATGGCATCATCCGACAACGTCATCCGCGCCGGTTTCACCCCCAAATTCAAAGACGTCTCAACACTGACATCCTGTCTGACGTACTCATACGCACCCATCTCCGAACAAAAAATGGACCCCACCGATTACGCGTACGTGAAATTCAACACGACGGCCTACAGTTCCAATTCCAGCTCCATCCTCTACGACCCGCCGATTGAAGAATTCAGCGTCATAAAGACGGACATTAATGCCTCCGGAGGCAAAGCGACTTTCGATCCCGTCGAAGGTCCTTCGATTGTGATTTGCACCAAGGGCACCGGGAAAATCAGTGTGGGACCTAAGAGTGAGGAGATTCGTGAAGGGTTTGTATACTTTGTGGGCGCCACGGCCGAGTTGGTGATGGAGAGTACTGGGAGTGAACCATTGGTGACGTTTAAGGCGTTTTGTGAGTTGGATGAGAAGACGAGTAATGGGAATGGGAATCTTTAGATGAGTATGGTGGTGGTGGTGGTGGTAGTAGTATTATAGGTGCTAAGAAGAAGGGGAAGAAGAGGAAGAAGAGGAAGAAGAGGAAGAAGAGGAAGAGGAAGAAGGCGGAAGAAAAAAAACTAGGCAACGACAGATACGCGAACAACGAACAATCGAGAAAATTTCAACAAACAGAAAAATGGTTGGTTGGTTGGTTGATTGATTGTGTGGGGGAAGATGGATTGGAATAGCGGTAGGTAGGTAGTTTGATAAAGATGATTGTATTTTGTGTTTGGTTGGTTGGTAGGTATATCTCTTCTCTAAAACTAGGTAAAAAAGGAAAATAGCGAATTTTGCAATTGTTTGGAAAGTTAGGTATACACACATACAGACTCTCCAAAACAAACGAACAAAAAAAAACGCTAGGTTATGCAATTACTATAACAGTCCACGGACCTTTCGCTCATCCTTCATTCCGGAAATGCAGCAATCGCTCTCATCTCCTGCTCTCTCTTTCTCTCTTCCCCTCTCGCTCTCTCTCTCACTCTCTCCTTTCCTCTCATATCTCCCGTCTCGCGCGCTCGCTCACATTTATTAGTACAAGGGTATGGTATGGAAAAATATGCAAAAGGAAGATATGCCGCTCGAGGGTTTTGGTGGGTGGGTGCGAGCGCGCGCGCGGAAAGGTTGGGGCGGTATCCGAAGAAGCCAAAATTGGGGTCTTCCGTATTCGTCGTGTTTGGGTTTCGTGATTCTCTGGTGTCTTCTTTGGGGGAGGCTGTGCGCGTTTCGCTCGTCTATATGTCGAGCTAAACTGAGTCGCAAGCAGTCGGGGGAATTTGGGGCGTGTCGTGTTCCACCCCCACGATTAGTGGAGATAGGTCATGGAGGTGGGAGAAAGAAGAGGATTTCAGACAGCTGAGACAGCTCACTTCTGGCTAGGAAGTTTGACGTTGCTGCTGAGCCATGCAAGACCTTCAAAGATGCCTTCGCCTGTGGTTGCGCAACTGGGCTCGACTTTCCACGTGTGGTCTCTGGCTATTCGTTGCAGGTCAAGCATGTCAGAAACCTCCTTGGGCCTCATTGCTGCAAAGAATCCCACAAATCAGTAACACGCTCGACATCATCCTCCACGTGTGCATAGGTATCGTCAAACTTACCACCTGGGATATCCTGCTTATTGGCAAAGACCAGGAGCAGCGCGTCCTTCATTTCCCTATCCTGTATGATCCTCGCCAATTCGCTCCGTGCCTCTTCCATCCTGTCTCTGTCGTTTGAGTCAATCACGAAGATGAGGCCTTGCGTTCCGCTGAAATAGTGCCTCCACAATGGACGGATCTTGTCTTGGCCGCCGACGTCCCAGACGTTGAATTTGGTGTTCTTATACGTGACAGTTTCCACATTGAAGCCAACTGTAGGGATGGTCGTGACATCGGTATCGAGCTTGAGCTTGTAGAGGATTGCTGTGTGCACCGAAGTATGATTAGTCGCCATCATCGGTATTATAGTCATGCGCGCTGGAAAGTGGTGTTCACGACGCACTCGTCTTGCCTGCTGCGTCGAGCCCGAGCATCAACAGGCGCATTTCTTTTGACCCGAAGATCTGGTTCATGATCTTTGATATCTTTTGGCCCATGGCGGAGAGAGTCTGCGGCACGCCCGCAGATGCGCGTGCAAGGAGGATGTGTTATGCGAAAGAAGGAGGTCAAGAGGTGTTCGCGCGGGCGCTCGAGGGGAATCGGAGGGATGTGGTGGTCGTGGTCGTGGTCGTGGTGATGGCGGCGATGATGGTGGTGAATGGCGCGAGGGGTGGTGAATGGCGGCGTTGACAGACGAGTCAGGAAAGCCGAGCCTGGGTGATGAACGAAGTCGTGGATGTGGGTATGCGTCGTTTGAGCGAAAGCGTGTGCGAGTGGATGGGATGTCTAGGAGGATATCAGACGGTATAGCTGTGCGTGGTCGACAAGCAAGTGGTCGGTGCTTCTTCACGTCTCATACCACATGTACTACTACCTCAGGTACAGATAGGTCAGGTACACATGTAATTCTCTTGTGATTATTGCCTGTACCTGTTGTACCCCCCTCGTCCTCATCTGCCATGAGTCGGCGATAATGAGACCATGACACACGGGCCACGAGAGCCGGTAAATAAGGACCCTGCGCCCACCAACTGGAACTAGTAGCGCTGTCATTTCACTGTCGCATGGCCTATCGAAGCATAAAATGATTAAAAATCAACACAAGCCGGTGATTATGCAAGGCACCGATAGAACTAATGTAGTTCTACAGCAAAGTTATAGTAGATAGACCAGGACAGGCCAGTTACAGTAAAAAGCAAGGTTAAAGTAGGTGGTACATGTACATGTACTCTGCCAGCCGTTGAAAAGCAGGCGACACTCGCACAAGCGGCACAACACGGCGATACCTCTCCCTGAACTGCGCATTATTCCTTCGTGCCCTCCATCTGTGCATCCAATGCAATATGCCAACATCTCTCTTTCCAAGTATCCCCCTAGAGGCTAAAGGCTAGATCTGAGCGCTCAAAATCCATCATTCACACCCTCCTTTCTCTCCCTCTCCAGTCTCTTCTCGTTCATACTCCACCACCACTGGTGACTCTCATCTCTTCCCTCCGCCTTCTTCTGCTCCCCCGTCTCTTCCCACGGCTTCGGACTCAAGATATAGTGCACATTCTTGACCTCCGAATCTCTCCAAATCTGATCATGTACACCCTTCCATCTCAACGTCTTGAGCGCATTATACGTATAAGGCAACGCAACCCATCGCCCGTGGAACAGATCTCCCAATAGCGACTGATCCGCAAAATCATACTCCATAGCACTCGGGTCTCTCAAACGTTCTGAAATCAGATCATACGTCGCCATTGACGGAACTACAACCTGCAAACCGCCATTCGGCATTGCCAATCCCGCTGAAGGCTCCGGGCCAGAGGTCTGCGCTGCCTCGGGGGTGGAGTGTTGCGTCGTAAACGCGCAGTTCTCTGGAATCCAGTCTTTGGGATAATGTGGCTTTTTCAACGGATTACAGACACAAGCATGACTTGCCGCGAACACCCTCTTTCCCGTCCCTTTCATGTCTGCAGCATCGAGTGGTACATCCATCAGTTCATCCATGTTTTGCAAAACCAACATGTCACTGTCCAATTGTATCACGCGATCATATTCCGTCAAACTGAAAGGTGTGAGTTTCGACCAACAATCGTAGAAGCGAGGGTCGTTGGAGAAGTCTTTGGACGCGGAAGGGAGGAGGTATTCGACGCGTTGTTTGGGGATGCGGCGTGCATCGAGTGCGGCGTGGCCTTCCTCGGGGAAGGTATCGGTGTAGAGGGCGATGAGAGGATATTTGCTGCCTACGGATTTGAGCGCGGCATCAAGGGTGAGCAAGCCCGAGAGGTAAGCGGTGTTGGTGATGAGAGTCGTCCAGACTTTGGTGCTGGAGACGACTCGGGTGGAGGTCCGGGGAACTTTTTTGTCAATGTCGTTGGCGGCCATTGTTAATGATGTCGCACTTGAGGTTTTGGATAAATGATATAGTAGATAGCTCTCTTACATAGGCCCTTGGTGGTCACTACGATACATATATTCTCTGTGCTAGGCTGGTAGGGATGGTTATTAGACCATTTTACATCCCTCTTAGTGTGTCCACTTGGATTGTGGCCGGAAGGAAAACGTAATCGATACCGACATGGAATCGATACCGTCATTCGGGAGCCCCCCCGGATTATAGACCGACTATCTCCGACCAACTCTTTTTGCATTTTGTTGTCCATGATGTATACAAAACCCATTAGACGACTTTCGGAATCCATCACGTACATCGAAATGCTCATCAGCAGGCTGGCGAGTATCACGAACCTCCGCTCCTCATGCCTGTCGATGCCGTGAAGGATGGTTCACCACCTTCGCCTCAGCAAACGAATGGCGGCAATTGGAAGGGATTTGTAGCTGGTGTATTCTCAGGCATCACCAAGACCACTGTTGGGTAAGTGCTGGAACGATGGCGAATATCTTACCCATCTATCTGAGGTACAACCCGACTGATCCAGATCTCGTCTAGGCATCCTTTCGATACAATCAAAGTCCGTCTTCAAACCTCCAAGCATGACCAATTCAAAGGGCCTGTGGACGCCTTGATGCAAACCCTTCGAAAGGAGGGTGTAAATGGCATATACAAGGTCAGAATAATCATCTATTTGCACATTCTCTTACCGACTCAATCCATCTAATACTACAAACCAGGGCGCAACACCGCCTCTCGTCGGCTGGATGTGCATGGACAGTGTCATGCTCGGCTCTCTAACATTATACCGTCGACTCCTGAACGAAAACGTCTTCCAACCCTACTATGCACGTCAACACCGAACCAGCCATCGTCAAACTTCTTCTCCTTCATCCTCTTCCTCTTCCTCCTCCCTCGTAGAAACCAAACTCCCACCGCTCGGCCACGGCATTGCAGGCACCCTCGCCGGCTGGACCGTATCCTTCGTCGCCACGCCCGTAGAACACATCAAAGCGCGCCTCCAAGTACAATACTCAGCCTCCAAATCCCAAAGACAATACACCGGACCCATTGACTGTTTCCGCAAAATCTACACCCAACACGGCATCCGAGGAATCTACCACGGTCTCACCTCCACCCTCATCCTCCGCACCTCTTTTTTCTTCTGGTGGTCCACCTACGACATCTTCACAACCCAACTCCAACGCCGAACAGAATTGAGCGCACCCGCCATCAACTTCTGGGCAGGCGGATTGTCCGCGCAGGTTTTTTGGTTGTGTAGTTATCCCTCGGATGTGGTGAAGCAGCGAATCATGACGGATCGATTGGATTCCCAGAGGAATTTTTTCTCGTGGAGGGATGCTGCGCGGGCCGTGTATCGGGAAAGTGGATGGAAGGGGTATTGGAGGGGGTTTGTGCCGTGTTTTATGAGAGCGTTTCCGGCGAATGCGATGGCTTTGGTGGCTTTTGAGGGGGTGATGAGGATGTTGAATAAGGAGGAGAATGGTGGAAGAAGAAGAGAGGAGGATTAGCAAAATGAAGTTGTGTGTGTGTATCTGTGTGTTTGGAGTGAGTGGAGGGGAAGATGATTATTCTTCCATGGGAACCTGGAAACTAAGTGAAATGTATTCTTCATACGAATTGGTTGTAAGATAGTGATGCTCTATCGGGCGATTTCATCGCCGTAGAGTGGAAGTACGCGAAAACGCACCTCACTGCTATAGATGTTCGGGCACACTCGCCCAAAGAACCGCTCATCCAAATCTGATGATGGCTCCAATGTATACATGAAAGCGGATCTTCCCCCCTCAATCCGCTATGCTTGTCCTCTATGCTATATGCTCATGGTTCCCTGTTTCGAACGCCAGAACACCTCGCCAATATAATAGTCACATCAAACCATATCTTAAGGTGGGTACGCAACCACCCTTCACTCATTATAATGATACACAAAGTAATTCGGAAGGCCTGACGAGCTCCATTGTAGTCTGGACGCCATCTTGGCGAAACCTTCCGTTTCGATCAAGTGATAGAAGGGAAAGGGTGGAAACATGGCGCCATCTCGATGTACTTCTGCTTTGACGAGAAGTGCCGTACCGCCGACTCCGTCGAGGTTGATGACTTTGCGTGGGTCGCCGTTGGCTTCTGTAGAGCGTGGTGGTTAGTATGGCATTTCAACGCTAGATCGGGGCTCCACATACCAGCCATGTGAGCCATCAGTGCCCTGTACGTCGCCATCTCCGCATACCCTTCTAATATAATATCATCTGGCCCCATCTTTTCGCCTATTGCCTGAGCAGTCGGCGAGTCTTGCCAGCTGTTGAAGTCGTATGGTCGGACATCTTGTGCGCCCTTCTCCTTGTTGTAGTATCTCTGGAAGCAATTCGGCACTATGATAGGCTTGTCATGGGAAGCCAAATCTTGGATCAAAGTGGGCGGCGTCTCAATGATATCACTGTCCAGCCAAAGCACCCACGACGTTGTCGGACCCAGCGTGGTGAAGAGCAGACTATTCCTCGCTCTGCTCATGGCCGCGCGACGCTCCTTCTGGGCTGCCATGGCATGTCGTTCGGACTCGGATTGTGCTACCGGAGGCTCGCTGTCCTGTCTCAGGATGGTAATTGAGGCGAAGCGGTTCTTGTTCGTCGGCGCTTGCGTTTTGGATATTCTCTCCTGCAATTGCTGTGTGGCCAGATTGCCCTCTCTCCCTTTGGGAATGATGAAGCCCAACGAGATCAAGTCATGCGGGTATGACAACTTGATCAGATTATCCCAATACTCCTGATAGAAGCGCGCGAGAGGCGTCAGAATGAGAATAGACTCGCGGTTGCCCACGGGGTCGGAGGTGGCAGTCACGTTGTTCATGTGGTAGTGCACGACGGGCGGCGGTGGAGCGACTTCGTTCGGGCCCAGGCTGGCAGGTTTGCGGAAGGGCAGCGAGGGCGGCGACAGCGCGTTCGAGGCTGCATCCTTGCTCTTGAGCAGCTGGCGCGGAGCGGTGGAGATGGAGGGCATGGTGGTGTCGTCGCCGAATAGGAACCAGAGGAAGCCGATGCCCAGCATGGCGGAGAGGAGGTAGGTGATGGTTTGGTTCCGCCGTAGCGAGCGAGAGACGGCCATGATTGGATTCACCTGCGGACCAGCGCCTGCGCGTTCACATCAACGAGGGAGTGTGTACGTGTGAAGGAGGGAGGGAGGAAATGAGGCAGTGAGTGCGAGTACCTAGTTCTCTCTTAGCAGCTGGTTGCAACAAGGACAGCAAAGCGTGGAATTGTTCCCCCATTCGAAAACGCGCCGGCGCCGGCTCCACTTTCTGCCGAACGACATGCAGGGGAGGGGTAGGAAATGGAAAGCTTGGCTGTGTTTCAGACTTCAGCCTTGTCTCCAATGTCTTGTGCTTAATTCACCTCCTCGTCATCATTTTTGACTACGACTACATTATTATATATCTACTGTATCTCCGTACAGTGGTATTTCCGACCACAAATACCTCCTGCAACCACAAGATACCGCCTTTCTGCCTCCATTCATCAAGACTCGACTGGACCACCACAACACCCGATCAGATGCTCGTCAGGAACTTCATCACATGCCACACCAAAGCGAGGACCTTGCAGAGCCCCATCCCCTTCCGGTCACAATGGCTTCATCACATCCCGCGCAGATGCTTTGGCGCGTCTCAGTATCTCAAGGCCAACAACGCGCCTGGGGGTGACGGAGGCCCGAAATTACAGCCCGAACTCTCCCAGCATGGGGTTTTCATGGGCACTGTGGCTGTTCAGACGCCTCAGGACACCAACATACGGGAAGTCATCTCCAAGATCAACCCTGAGCCACGCGGAAAGCCATCTCGGCCGAACGAGGCGCCCTCACTCCTGGTGCTGCTTGTGACGCCATCATTCGCACAGCATGCGCTGGACACTGACCTTCCACTCAAAGTATTAGAGCGCTTTCAGGAGAATCCCACAATCTCTAAGCCGCTCGATGCCCTCATTGCTGTCGTGGATCGCCTACCCGTGCCACGAAATGCACCAGATGGTGTCGAGGGCATAGGGTATGCGTTCATCACAAATCCGTCGCCATCTCACGTGGATTCCCAATTGCCACTCCAGCCAAACGCAAGTAAACCCGGTTCGTTGTCATTTGACTTGTCTACAGTGTCACATCATGGTCCACGTCGTGTTATTGCTCAGATGCCCTTGGCCCAGACCATCTTCAGTACAGGGCTGCCATCCACTCTGATCTACACGCGGTATCAATTTGATCCGCTGAGCGGACATCTACGGACGCAGACTTCACAGCGCTTAGAGTCAGTGACTCTTCCCATGCCCGAAGATGTCTCAGCTGGGTCTGTACGCTTGCGAGCACCTCTGATTCCCCTTACCTTCCCCAGGCTCGTCGTCAGCTCCATGGGAAACATCGTGCGGAAGCTGTCGCCCTTGCCCCAACCCCACGAGAACAACTCTGCTGAGTCGAATTCCGGCGATGGCCAAGCGGCAAGCCCAACTGTGTTCTCTGCCTCGCAAGAGCTGGAAGCAGCCGTTTCCACGTACTTTGCGGCTAGAGGGATGTCGCCTGAGCCTGTACAAGTGTGGGCTCTAATCATGCCTGAAGATGCCGGCCAGAAATACCCATTCAGGAGCCTTCTTAACTCTGTTCTGAAGAACAATGCGAAAGCGATCCAGCAGATGATGGTAGATGATCGTACCAATCCGATGGCTTCAGGCCGCTTGCTGGGTGCGCTGTCGGTCGGGGCTAGATTATGCAAAGTTCTGTCCGGTGGAGGCGGCTGGGGCAAAAAAGCAGGCCTCCTGAGTCTAGACCCGGACTCGCAGTATAGCACTCGCGAATTGCGTGGCGACCATGGTTGGGACTTTACCTTCGAGGGTGATACTACAGAGGAAATGATGGCAGCTGGGAGGAAGCAAGCACTGGGCGAGATCGTGAAAGAAGGCGAAAGGATTGTCTTCTTTTTGCTTGGTCCAAAGAATCTCTTGAAGGATCCCGGTGCTGATGCTTCCAGCTACTTCCCTGCTTTTGTGCTGGGTGCCCTTCCTTCCAGCACCGAGAATGAGCAGTTCGATGCGGAGGCTCGGCATGAATCAGGTGAAGCGGCGGGATTGACACACTACCCTTGGCGGTTTGGAGCGCTCAGCGAAGGCGGAATGGCCTTGAATGTGTCCCAGCCCGGAGGCCCGACGACCCAGACAAAGGTAGACGCGCCGTATGCTGTGATGACCGCATACTGTTTCCGAGAAGAGAAGCCAGTCGCGGAACTCAACAAGTGACTAGCTGCTGGAAGACCGAAGAAGAGCAGGCAGAAAGGGCGCGGCCGCGCAGAGGGTGAATACTTGTACAGCTGGCGGTCTGAGCTTCCTACACCCAGAGATGAAAGCATAGAGTCATACACGAACAACAGCGATGAAATGTCACAACCAGCCAGAGCGTGCGAGACTCTGCCAACCCTCTCACCCAGACGTGCGCCTGCTGCTACGAAGATGGCGCGGAGTCGAGATGGAACACGATCGCCTCTGCCGGAGGACAAGATAGATATTGTCCGCCCATGTACTTCTGGTCCACTTCGATTGAAGAAGATTTACCGAGAAAGTATTACCAAATATGCATACGACTGGAGGCCTCAATACCCTGCAACAAGCAAGAAGCGCCCACGTTCGCGTAGTGTCAGCAGAAGCGAGACCGTGCAATCGGTCCGGTCGGACGAGGCTGTGTCCGTCGTCATGATCAGGAACGAACCCGCAGTGCGCCCCCTACGAACACACGCCGATGTAAAGGAGACAGTGCCATCCATGTCTGATGAGACGGTGTCACATATCTACGCCAAACCTATCATCCACAAAGTCATGGTCACATCGACCCTTGACTGCAAATGCCTTACTGATGAGACTGTGCAAGCTGTTCACGCTCGGCGTATCGTCCGCAGACTTATATCGAGCCGTTTCTGGAGACGCACACGTTCGACACCGAAGCGTGAAAAATTGGTCAAGAGAGTGAAAAGTACGGATCGTAAATCTGAGGAAACGTGGTCTTTACTCTGGGAGGGAGAAACATCGCCACCTGGTCCTACACAGGAATTGCGTCGTGGTGCGATTGACGAACAATATGCAGATCAACTGGCTGCCGATGCAGAAGCGTTTTTTAATCTGCCTGATTGTGATAGCGATCAGAGTAGCTGGGGTGAGAAGTGATTTTGTCTACCAAATAATGTGAGATACATGTAAAACAGCTTGCGAGCATATGCACAGGGTTGCTGTTCAGGTACAGTAGTGATAAAAATAATGAGCAACGAGAGAGGAGAGGGGAGGAGTTGTGTCGGAGGGAAAGGATCGGCAGCCTCGGCTATATTCCAGCGTTCCAACCCCCCAACCTAGGTGAACGCCAAAGTACATGTACGGAGGTAGTAGTGTTGATGACTATTTGATCATTTCAATACAGTTGCTCACAGGCGACTGCATACAACGTATTAGATGAAATTACCCCGAAAATCCGATTTTCGTTAACAAAAGACATCTGCCTATTCCACAGTGCAATTCAGCTACTCCGACCGATTCGACCACGACCCAGGACATCATCATCTACTTTACTCGATTCGACCAAAATCATGTCAAACAACAAACAAGAAGCACCCTTTGGCAATCTCGCACCTTGGTCCGAACCGGCGTGGTCTCATGGGATACCCTCACCTTACTACAATGAATCCCACAAGAAATACCGCAATGCACTTCGAGAATACATCAACACAAACATTCTTCCCGACGCATTAGATTGGGTAAGTTTATGAAGATGAACCCCCCCAAAAATGACCATAAAAACAAAGAAAGAAAAAGAAAAAGAAAAAGAAAAAAAAAACCATCCCAAGCCTAACACCCCCATCAAGGAAGAATCCGGCTCCGCCCCCCTCTCAGCCCAACTCGCCTGGGCTCGATCAGGCTTCAGTTTCTCCGACGTGCCCCTCGCCTACCGTCCACACGACGTCCCCTTTCCCGCCGGAATCCCCGTCGATCAACTCGATGCCTTTCACTTGCTGATTTCGACGGATGAGACTTCGCGGGTCGAGGGAGGCGTGACGTCGAGTTTGGGTGGTGGGACGGTGATTGGGATTCCTCCGGTGATTCATCATGGGACGGAGAGTCAGAAACGAAAATGGTTGCCGGGATTGTTTAGTTGGGAGACGAGTTTTTGTCTGGGGGTTACGGAGCCGAGGTGAGGAATTTTACACTTGACTTACTTGATTTTTGATATGATGCTGACTATGGATGGTGGGGTGTTGCTCTCAGTGGAGGATCGGATGTGGCGAATATTCAAACTACGGCGGAAAAGACGCCTGATGGGAAGTTTTATGTGGTGAATGGGTGGAAGAAGTGGATTACGGGTGCTCCGTGGGCGACGCATATGACTACTGCAGTACGCACTGGCGGTCCAGGTAAGAAAGAAAGAAAGAGTCTTTCTGACAAGAGGCATGATTTACTAATATATTATTCCCAGGCATGGGTGGAATCTCCGTCCTCGTCATCCCCACCTCCTCCCCAGGCCTCTCCATGCGCCGCATTCCCAACAGCGGCCAAAAAGCCGGTGGAGCTTCCCTCGTCGAACTCGACGACGTACACGTCCCCGTAGAGAATCTCATAGGCAGAGAAAACCAGGGCTTCAAAGTCATCATGGTGAATTTCAATCGCGAACGATACATCATGGCAGTAGGTTGCAACCGCAAAGCTCGCACCTGTCTCGCGCACGCATTCCACTACGCGCACCAACGCTCCACGTTTGGGAAAAAACTCATCGAAAATCAAATTATTGCGGCGAAATTCTCGACCATGGCGAGATATATCGAGAGTCATTGGGCTTGGCTGGAGAGTATTGCATATGCCGTGCAACAGTCTCCGATGGGTTGGCAGGATCCGCATGTGGCGGGGAGAATTGCGTTGGCGAAGGTGCAAGGAGGTAGGATTCAGGAGAGTGCGAATCGGGAGGCTCAGCAGATTTTTGGGGGTGCTGGATATCAGAAAGGGGGGCCTGGAGCGGTGGTGGAGCAGATGAGTCGTGATTTGAGGATGATGGTGGTGGGAGGGGGGAGTGAGGAAATTATCAGTGATTTGGCGGTGAGACAGGAAACGGTGTTGGCGAAGAAGAGGGGGTGGAAGTTGTAGATTGTCTGATATTTATATACTTATATACATGGATGGTACTCCACTACTTTTGACGGCCAAGGTGGTACCTGGCAGGCACTTGGCAGTGCTTGGCTTCCAGGTTGCTTGACGTCTTGACTTCTTCCCACCTCCATTCGTCCATTACTCTTTTCCCTCCACTCGTGGCACCACCGGATGTCGTGAATAGGCTGGAAAAAAACAACACCATCATTCCGGACAGCGGGATGGCGCCGGCGAGTGTACACATCTCTCAGACTTTGGGGCACGCAGTATCGAATTTCTTCCCGCAGCAATGCCAATAGCAATGCATCTGGACGTTGCCGACCTCGAGTCGAACAGATCAATGCGCGACGAGAAGGCGATAAATGTCATCGCTAGGCCCAACAATGCCCCGAGACGGTCTGCAGTGCAAGTGGCCTGGATGGCGCTCGTGAATGATGAAGACCTCGTCTCCTCGCTGTCCATTCCCGGAACTCATGATTCGGCGGCATACACGCAACCATGGCCCTTTGTCGCCACTCAGACCATGAATATTGCAGAGCAACTCCATGCTGGCATTCGCTACTTCGATCTGCGCTGTGGCGTGGTAAACAACAGCACGGAAATGGTCCACGGGCCTCGTCTGCTGGGTTTACGTTTGCAGACGGTGCTGGACACCATGTACACTTGGCTGGACTCCCATCCCACTGAGGGACTGATTGTACAGATCAAAGAAGATCGCAAGTCGGAGCAATCCACGGTCCCTTTTTGGCAGGCAATATATCAAAATATTGCAGCTAAATCGGAGCGCTGGCGAACAGCGAATACTACTCCCTCGATGGGAGAGTTGAGGGGTAAGATCCAGCTCTTGCGACGATACAGTGCTCCGAGCAGAATGGCATATGGCATTGATGTCACGCAGTGGCAGGTACGACGACACACACCATTCTGGCTGGACGTATTCCCATCAACTTCCGCTAACATGACTATTTCATTTCGTAGGATAATCCCAGCACGCCCTTCACCATATATACCTGGCACCAGGTCCAGCTCACTATCCAAGACCATTATAACTTCTCGGAGCCCATGGCCCTCCCATCGTTGCTGGCCAAAAAGGGAGGCGATGTGTCGGGACTCCTACAAAAGGCATACAACGACCCCGATCCTTGTCATTGGTATATCAATTTCACGAGTGCTTACGAATTCAACCTGTACTACCAACTCACCCCGCGCGCAATTGCCGTTGGCGCCTATTATGGATTCCGCTGGGAGCAAGGCATGAACCCACGATTGAGCAACTCGTTGCGCGTCAACCCCGGTCGTAGACGACTGGGAATTGTCGCCATGGACTTTCCTGATAACGGCAGTGACGACTTGATTCAGTTGATCATCCAATCCAATTTTGCCCCTGGCCGAATGAGCTGGCACATGATGTTGGCTCTGATCGTTGTCATCAGTCTCCTCGGGCTGTCGCTGTTTGCGGGCAGCTCGGATGGGACGAAGAGATGCATTGATTATCTCCTTGGTCCTTGATGTTCTCTTCCCGCTGTCATGTTGTCTGCACTACATTCGAAGGGAGATCAAGCCGAAAAGGCTACATATATATATATGTCATCTGCGATCTGCTTGACGAGGCGCAGCTCGGTCACCATATCTTCAGACTCAAGGCCTTTCCGTTTCTATGGAGTGCAGCCCCGTCGTCTGTGAACTCACTCCGAGACTGACTTTGCAATGCACTGTCTGTGCTCTCGCCGGAAAGCGACGTACGATGCATCAATTCCTCCTTGCACTCGAGCTCTAGGAGTCTACTCGTCACAACGCCAATCATCACGTTCTAGTCTCGAGGAAGACTCTCCAGTGGCTCCCAATCTCCATCCTGGGAAGTAGCGTACTCGACATAGGTAAATTACCACATTGAGTCCGCTGAGGAGCCTCGTCGCGACCCGATCCAACCCGCCCCTGCTGCAGTGGACGAATTGGCGTAATTTCCACAGCTGACGTGGATCCCCTGATAGCAGTCCGAACGGCCTTTCAAGGCAGCCAATATAGAACTTGGCGTATCTGCGAGTAGAGAAAGCACCAGCAGCTCCCTCACAAGACTTTTCTTGAAAGAGTCCCAACCGAGCGAAACCAGCTCGTCAAGACGGCTAGTATTACATCACAATCCCCGATTGCAGCCTTCGTTGCGACTCCTGGTGCACATGAGTCTAAATGTGATCCCCGACGTCGATGCAACGTCAGAAGAAGAGAGAGCAGCAGCAGCAGCAGCGAATCAACAAACAAACAAACATGCCAAAAGCGGAAAATTCTGATCGGTAGACCTGTACATACATCTGTATATTCATTTTTCTCATTTTTCAGGACTGAGGAAGGAGTTGTATTGTAAATACCTACCGACTCACAGAGTCTAGGTATATGATAGATAGTAGAATGAGGTTAGATCTGTTTGTTTCTCTGTTTGTGTGCTAGCTTTGTGTTCTCTCTCCCTCTCTCTCTCTCTCTCTCTCTCTTTCTTATTTTCTTCTTTTACTCTCTTTTCTTACCCTCTTTTCTTACTCTCTTCTCTTACTCTCTTTTCTTACTCTCTTCCCTGACTCTCTTCTCTTACTCTCTTTAACAAGGCGTACTTCGTTCCGCTTAATTTAGAGGTATAGTGATACTTGTCTTGCCATTGAAAAAGCAAAATCTGCATGCAATCTATCATACCCAGGTGTATGTGTGTGCGTATGTACCAGGTAACTATATAACCTTTCTTTAAGAGTGACATTCATCCACCCATCCATTCATCCCCCCATCAGTGCCATCACTCCCTCCCTCTCAAAATCACAACCTCGCCTTCCCCCTCCCCTCCTCCCCCTTCCCCCCCAACTCCAACCCGGTCAAAATCTCCAACTCCCTCACAGCCAAATCCGCCCTTCCCAACGTAACCTTAATCGTATTCATACCCAATTTCCTCGCCGTTCTCAAATTCGTCCCAATATCATCTAAAAATGTCACATCCTGCATTCTCACGCCTTTCTTGCCTTGTAATCGAATATATTCCTGCAAACGTGTGGCGGCGTATTGATAGATGCGTTCGTCGGGTTTGCGGAGTCCAATGTGTGCGGAACTGAGAAAGAGGTCGAAGATTTGGGTTTTGAGGGTACGGATTTCATTTGTTTTTGAGTCAGAGGATTTCTTCTTCTTCTTCTGGTCTTTTTGTTGATCAGGATGTTCTTCTTCTTCTTCTTCATCATCATCATTAAACTCGTGGCCCCGGGGAAAAATCACTGTATTCGACAACGCTGCCAAAACCAATTCTCCGTTACTCGCATCCGCTGCTTTTCGCAGTTTCTGCAATGCAGGCCACATGTGCGGATCCGGGGTGCGAGCGATGCGCATCATTTCTCCAAAGAGCCATTTGGCGTCGATATTGGGGACCGGTGGTGGTGGCGATACCTCTGCGTTCTGATCTACCCTTCCTCCTGGTGTAGTAGTAGTAGAAGTAGCAGTAGTAGTAGATTTCAAATAATACGCCTTCCACCGCGCCTCATGCTCCAAATCGGCTTTGAACAGACGGAAGAATTCTTCGTCGAGTGGAATCGCGCCCGTTTCGATTTGTGCCCAGGCTCCTGTGGGACCGGAGGCGGAGATGGCGTGGTTGATGTAGCCGAGGGGGATGTTGTGGGATTTTTCGTAGTCGAGGATGGCTTGGAAGGGGGAGATGACCTGAGGGTTTTCTTAGTTTTTAGATTTCTTTTTTTTGGGAGAGGGAAAACAAGAAGGGTGACGAAAACAAGGTATAGAACAGGAGACTGAGGGAGGAAGGGAGTGAGGAAGTGAGTGAGTGAAATAAGTGCCTTGCTTGGACAAATGCCTTCTTCTTTTTATTTTTCTTGCTACTGGATGAGACAAATACATGCATGTTCGGGCGAGGAGTTGGAATTTGTGGGATTTCTTACGCACGCAGACGCCGCCAATGTCAAAGAGGAGCACGCGGGGATAACCACCGGCGGCGGCGGCGGTGGTGGTGGTGGTGGCCATGGTGTGTATGTGTGTGTGGGTGGATGAGGTTGGAGGATGACTCCAAGCAACCTTAATATGAGAGAAACCTCAAGTACAGTACCGGGAGAGCTGGTGACAGAGTGGGAAGTCACTACTAGGAGGTAAAAGGAAACATTAATTGTCCATGTTGATGATATGCGAGAGGTGACGAGGTGACGAGGGCCGCGGACTACGCGTTGGACCGAGGCTCTGCTCGCCTCACGTGCTCAACACGTCCAGAACCAGTTACAGCAAGAGATCAACAGCAGAGATACGTGAGAGGGGCAAGCGAGATTCACAAGGGAAAAAGGTGTAGATGCACAGAACTTTTCAAATCTATCTTGATTCTTGCACTCGCTATCGTTCAGTCGGAAACGCGCCCAAGAAAACAAGCCCCGAGTCAATCAACCACCAAGCACCATTGCTTCGAGCAGGAGACATCAGAAGGACTAGAAAGAAAAAGCAAACACGTTTCAATCGCCGCCCGTCATCCAAAAGTGGAGAGGTCGAGGCATTCAATCGCCGCAAGAGAAAGTGGAGCCACACAATGCGCTCATTCAAGTTGAACAGAAAAGAAAAAAGTCACCCCCCCCCCACCAGCGTCTGCAATGTGGCAGCGCCCCCCTTCTCATTGGTTGTGTTTGTTGCAAGAGCAGTGTGAAGTATCTCGTCGTCCGTCATCATACCGAGTCAAGCCTTACTCGTCGGCATCGTCGGCACCAAGATCCATGGCCTTCTTCTTCCAGAATCGAACTTGCTCTTCCAACTGAGCAATTGTACTCTCCAACTCATCTCGTTCCTGAACCTTCTTCGCTCGTGACTTGCGAGCTGCCGCCGTGTTCCTCGCACGCTTCAGAGCGACAGTATCGTGTCCGTCGACCACAATCGGTGGCAGAGGCTTATCCCGCTTGCGAGCGGCAACGCCAGCGACAGCCGACATCTTCGGTGCTGGTGTGCAAGGCGTAGGTGATGCTTGTGTTGTTGTTGAAGAACGCTTTCGAGCCGCACTTTCCCCGCCGGGGTGGACCAGGATGGTGTTGGACGAGGTGCGCTCCATAGATGGGGCCATCACAGCGTTATCCTCTTCCGGGAAGAGCGAGAACCAGGCCTTGTCCTCAACCATCTGGTCTGTAAACAGTGGCGATGTTTGGTAGTCATCTGGGGTATCAAGGAAGGTAGATCCAGGAGTGGTCAGGTTGGTAAACGTCGTAGATGGTGGAACAGAGTCGGCGAACAGGTCTTTTGGTGAGACGGTGCCAGAAGGAGCTGCACGCTTGACAGCGGTGAAGCAGTTGGCGCTGGAGCCCATCAATTCAAAATCGTCGCTGAAGCTGTCAAAGCTAAACATATCAGCGTCTCCACCGGCGTGGAGATCGCCAAAGGTGCCGCTATAAGCGACGTTGATTTCTGAAGGCATGGTTAGACCGATTCCGCTCCACGGTGTTGCTGGTGTAGTGTTACCTCCGCCTCCCATAGTGCCGGATGTATAATCTAGTTCAGGATGAATGGTCTGTTGCTTGGTGAAATGACCGGTCGAATGATGTGCGTTGAAGAGTGGTACAGGTGGACGAGTGGCCGAGCGAGTGGTGTAGCGGGTATCCCTTTGAGCGTGGTAGTCTTCGTTCGGCTGGTGGCCGCGTGGACAAGCAGGATTAGACGAAGGAAGCGGCGTCGAATCGAGAGAGGGAGCCCGGGCGGGAGACTCGTGGGTCGGGGCGTCGAAGAGCGTGAAGTCTTGCGAGAAGTGGGGAGCTGGTGGCAATTGCCGTGCAGACACTGGTGTAGGAAGCCATGTTTGCTGGTGAGAAGCCGTGGTGGGCTTGGAGAGGTGGTTCACAGGGCGGTTGTCGAGGGACAAGCGGGCGCTTTTTGTGTGAAGGTCCGAGGACGCTTCGAAAATGGAGTGGAGTGGGTAGAGGGAGTGGAGCGGTATGGTGGGCGGACGGGGTTTAAGCAGAGGCAGACATCTTGAATGGCTGTCTCTGTAGTATGGATGTGTGGTCGGTATGGGGAAGAAGGTTGAGAGGAAGAGGAAGAAGAAACAGAAGGTGGATGGTGAGGTGGGGTGAGGCTACTTGAACTTGGCGGTTGCCTGTGACTCACACTCACCTTTCTCGCCGGTGGAGCGTGCCCTTGACCGGAAAAGCTTAAATAGGCCTGTAGGATCGTCCATCACGACAACTGACAACAAACGGTCGAATCTCATCTCGCTACGACTTGTGCAGCAACACACGCGTCTCTTCCTCTTTTTCTTTTTCTCTGAGGTTCTTCTTCTCCTCTTCCTTCTCCCATCTCTCCTTTTTCCCCTATTTCTCCTATTTCTCCTTCTCCATCTTCGAGAGCATCACCCAAGCAAAGTGCGGTTGAAACAGGGCACAGCCTGCTTACCCTCGCCGCAATCCTGAGGCCGCACTCCGGCTGCGCCCTGTCTGCGGTGGCCGAAACCGGCCTCGGCGAAGCTGCATCTCGGCACCAATCACAGTCCTCCTTCTGCGCCTTGTACCGAACAGGGCGTCGCGGTCACTCAATACGTGAGTGAGGGAGTTGTAAGAGGTACTCCACTCTCCAGGACGCGACAGGGTATGCATAGGTGGCACTACGTCCAGTATGCTGTAGTGTACCAACAAGCCAATCAACCAACCACGAAAGAAAAGAGGATCAAGAAAAATACGCGTTTTCTCGTTAATTATCGTATTTATCCATGCTTGCTGATGCTCGTGCTAGAAATACATGTACCTCCTACCTACCTACCTATCCTCTCACCGAGCCGAGGCGAGGCCCACGTGGTGGTCTATGCGAAAAGATCGTAGAAGACTGACAACAGCAATGACAGTACCTTATCTTCCCTACATGTATCTCACCTAGAAACGAAGTAAATAAAAGAAAACGGACAAATCCCGAGAAAGTCTGTGCATGCTCACTACAAACGCAAAGAGAGGAGGCTAGAGATGTAATCGCGGCGACGCATAGAAACGGGAAAAAAACAAAATGCACAACCTGAATGTTCCAAGAACGGACGATTTTTGGCCGAAAGGCTACATGTACCTGACAACTCATTCACTTCGTTTGTAGCCAGCCAGCCATTCTCAGTCTACCTACCTTCCTAAAGCATTGCACCTGACTCCAACCTGATAACACCTGCAGAACCACACCAGCTTCGTAGCCCGTGTGCGACGACCAACCTCTTTCGCGTCCGCACTCGGTCTCTTTGCTCTCCCTCTCTCGCCCTCTCTCGCCCTCTCTCGCCCTTTCTCTCTCTCTCTCTCTCTCTCTCTCTCCCTGCGCGGGAGAGAGCACCATCTAACTAATGATTCCGCCCTGGCTGTTCAGGAAATGTTTGTCGTAGATACGCCTGGGACACTGCAGTCCAGGTTCCGGTGTGGGGCCGAGATTGCGGCCGGCACACAGCGTGCGAGCTGCCAAGCCGACGAAAAAGCAGCTGTCATATATACCTATAGGTCGATGCGGGCGCCATGCGCCATGTGCGTCAGTATTGATATATATATTTGGACTTCTGCACACCGATGATACATATATGTGTGTGTGCGGGGATGGTGATACGAACCTTTGGGCCCGCAAGCACTCTTGGGATCTTGGCATTCAAGGGCTTCCATCATGGGAACATGAAGTATAAAATGGCTGGTGTCGCCAATGCTGCAGATCGCGCCGAGCCCGTTTGTCTTGACCTCCTGCTGTGGGATTAGATGGCGCCGTATGTTCTATCAGTAAGGATGATAGGGGGAGAAATGAGAAGGAGCAGAAGAAGAACAAAAAAGTTGTCACATACTCTTCCTTGGCCGCTCATGATCAGAATGTTCGGTTTGAATGTTAGCACAAAGGGATGTTGTTGAGGTAGATTCCAGCTTTTAGAGTACGAGGTTGTAGTCGCCTGACTGCAATATCGTCAGCATCAGCTCCGGCGAGAGATCATCTCCAATACGTGCACGCATCTCAGACGGATCCACTCACCCAAAGGTATATGCAAAACCACCCCGGATACCAATTTTATCGAGAACATGCTTGATTACTGGTGATTGAGAGATGATAGTGCCTTTCTAGATGAATAAATCAGATTCAGGAGCTCTGGCCTCTAGACGAGGTATCGATAGGGGTGAGAGATGTACCAAATCAGGTCCAGCTTGAAAGTTCACCGACCATGAGTAACTGAATGAATAGGTCTTGCCAATAGTTCCTGGAGCGCACAGCGTATCGGAAATGACATGGGTGTTGCCCGTGACGGCGTTGCTCAGAAAGTTGTCATCCAGGTCCAAATGGCTATCAGTTGCAGAGCATGGCTGTACTCTTTTGTCTCTCCACGTCAACATCCATAATAAATAGACCACGGCTGTTGGTTGGGATGCCAACTGATAGGTCTAGGAGCGGGCATTGCGTACGTACCTGTCCGTCTGCCCGACATTCTTCTTCGGTACCGGTAAACCGCGCTCCGTCCAATACTCATCAGGAGGGATATAGCCGGTCTCAGGGATGGATTTGGGCAGCTGATTCTTGAACGTCATCGGGAAACTCTGTATCACCTTTCCTCCTCGAGCGAGCTCTCTGATGTCTACATACTTGGGGTGACTCGTGCTTTGACCAGTAGGATGACCAGCAGCGTGCTTAGCGGGAGCTTTGGTGCCAGCTTGACTTCGGGCGTGGACCAAGTTCGTTGACAAGTCCCGTGAGATGACTGCAGTATGTGCACAGGCGATAAGGACGGCCAGAGCAATACACAGCCGGAAGAGGGCTAGAGCGGATTTGGCCATTGTTGAGGAGCAAATATGACTGCTTGGCTTGATTTGTGTTTGATGATGATCAAAATCCAGTATTGTCGCGGTGGTACACGCGCCCTTTATACCCTTCGATGCTCGCCCTGAACAGCGCCGGCACTGTTTTTTTGTGGCCTTGTCCGATGCTGTACGAGACTGTCAAATTCTCCTCCATGTGCTGTGCTTCGCTTAGAAGCAGTGTGTTGGGTGGCTTGTTCATCATCGAAGAGTTGTGATCTCAATGGGGACCCCAGCTCAGGCCCGAATGGAGTTCGCCTGAAGGGTGGAACCAATAGCACGAGGGCTTTACGGCCTCGTGCGAGATCAAGTAGAGTCGAAGGAAACCAGCGGGACTCGTCAAAGATTCTCGCTGCGCTGGACATCGAGCCTTGAGGTTGTATTCGGCTACCATGACGACCATCTTGGGGGCATCGGCTTACTAGTGCCCGGTCGAAGGAAGGTATACTGCACAGCCGAAGAATGGTGCGACAGTCCAAGACGTGAGGTCGTCAAGGTCCAGTGGTGATGGAGAAGGAACGTGGTCGGACTGAGCGTTCTAAGGGGACGACGATGGGACCAGGATGTATGAAGATAGGTAGTAGGCAAGGTAAATTAAGGTATTCCATGATACGATATAGGTACATCAGGTAAGATCAGGAAACATGGCGTGGGGTGTTGGATGCTCCACAAAAGCTTGTCTCAACGTGCCCTTGGCAACTTGGGTACAACAGACAACGATGTCGTGCGAGCACTGGGCATTCCACTCTAACCCTCCTTCAGAGCATCGTCAAATCACGCTTGCATCCTCAGACACGGCATACCTCACTGACTCTATTTGCACCGAATGAAATATATCCTGGCTCTCACGCCGCTCAAGGAAATGTCTGCGCAGTGGCTGCTCCATAGCCTCGCGAAGGTCGTTCATTTGGCAGAAGGATCTCATGTTCTGGCTGGTCGTCATCTCGGCATCTGACCACGGGCGTTGCCCTAATGTCTAGGGAGGAGTATTACCTACAGTGCTTGTGGCCGGACGTTGATGGAGGCGGCCGCGATAGCTGTCCCCCAGAGCTTTCATCGACCTGTTGCAAGGAGGTCGATCGCTTCGTCGAAGTCTTTACATTCCTGCTCGGTAGCGCAAGTAGCGAGGATATAGCAGCATAAGGCTAGCACCAGGACTTTACGATCGTAAGCTGGATGCCGGGCTCAGGTCCAGAGATGGCGTTCTGGCCAAGTTCCGCGCAAAAGAACTATTGCACTAGTGAACAGCATCAGTCCACTCGGATAGCTCTATGCAGTCAATGAACCTGGCACAGCTGTTAGGCCCTGCTTGCAAGGGCATGCTCTGGTAGCTTTGAAGGGATCGACAGTCCATCACTGTATCGAAACTACCTTGACATGCCGGCATCAGATTCGTCAACATGTTGACCACGTGGCGTCGTGTGGAAAGCGGAGTTGGAGAACGGTGCGCTCGCCGGAGCTTGCGCCGTCCCTGGGGTGATTTTTTCTAATGCAAAGACTGAACAAGGCCTCTGGCTATACCGGCATTGTTCATGCGTTCATGGAAGCTGGCCATATCGCTTTCGCGATCTACATCGTTGTTCGCGTCCCATACCGCATGCTAAAGCACAACGGCACATCGTGCCACGCTATGGATGAATTACAATGATCATGCTTTAGCCGATCTGCAAGTCTACCCCATGAATCATCTGCACCAGATGGTAGAGCATTCTCAAAGGCATCGGCGGGCATCAGCGAGGTATGCAATCGCTTCGCTTCGCGTCCTCCCCGTTCATCTCAGGCTCCCGAGCTTGGTTAATCCTTCGTTGCTGGGCAGAGTCGAACTCTACATGGTGAATGCATCCCCGGCAGCATCGATATTTGCAGCAGATCCTTTCGCCATATGTTGGTCGTATTGTCTTATCGATTGTATTGGGTACCATTCGATCGAGGTAGAGGTTAACATCTCGGTAATTGGCAGCTAGAGCTATACTTTAGCGCATATCGGAAGTGACGAGAACCTGCAGAATCGTATAGACCGTATTTCTGCGACGCACGAGAGAAGTGAACGTTTGTACGGGCATGTCCAGAGTGCTAAACGCTAGCAGGGTTGCGATGGCACCTAGTACACACATGATGGCGGACCATTATTTCTAGCCACGACGATGGGAGGCATGATGATGCCTCGAACAGTCTGGGTCTTTGTCGCGCTCGCCGCTTCGTCTAGAGGAGCTTGCGCTCAATGATATTATCGCTTGTTGGCTGATAGCCAGACGTTGCAAGCGAGAGGAATGATTTCTGGTTAAATGGCATCACCAGTCTGCCGATTCTCGTGCTTGCTGGATAGTAGCAGAAGTGCTTGGTGCGGCGATACGTGAAAGGCCATGTGAAAGGCTCTGCGGCAAGGGTCGTCCTCGAACTCGAAATTCTCGGCAAGAGTGATTTATTAATAGAAACAACCTGAATGACGGTGAGGCACACGTAATGTTCGTCAGCACCTCTACCTATAAGACCATGCTGACCCTTGTCAGCAGTTGCCCGTCGAGCCATAGCTATTCCGCCGTCTGCTCTCGTGCTCACACAGAGTTCATAATCCTACGAAAACTCTATACTCGACACCTTGGCGTCAATCAAAGCACAAGCATGTGAGTGCGAGGATGTACTGTGACAGCTCGAAAGGAAGAAGAAACTACTGTACCTCCTACTGGAACAACCTTGAGGCTGCGCAAGCGCACAGACCACGTTGAGTGCTCCTACGAAGCATGGTCAAGGTAAGGTAGGTAGTAGGTCCGACTTTTACAACATCTGAGAACGCACGCCGCCCACAGCCACTGCTCTGAACATGTGCAGACTTGTGATCGTGTTATTGGGCCGATCGTTTTTCGTTCGCTCTGGTAATCCCAGGAGACGAGATATCTCGTCGCGACTAATGGTGAGTATGCATCCAGGCGACACAACGACTGGCAACCCATGCGAGCCCTTCGTTGAGTTGGCATTGGCTCGTTGATCGACCCGAGCTGTCGAGCATCGACGATTGATCTTGATTATAAGTAAAATTCTCTGTCTGAACAACTGAAGCGGGAAGGGCGGGTTGGGTCTGTGAGGTTATTTAGATTCCTCCTCGGCAACTGTGCAAACTCAGTCTTCGTATAGGCTTATATAAGGTATGTGTGCATGTGCTTGTAAGCAAGGATCATGCGGATATCGCCTAGGCACAAAGTGAAGGGAGAGGCGGTGGAGCAGGCGGACTCACATATCTTCCCGACAGATAGCGGATCACTAGGTAGGTAGGTAAGATCGCAATTGAAGTCATAGATGGTCTTGTCCTTGGGAATCAGAGTGGAACGTTATTTTCGAAATGTCCTTGTTCGTAAACAAGAACAGCAATATAGCCAACAAGAATACTGATTTCTTTTGACAGTCAAGCAACATAGCCCATTACTGGAGCCTGTTGCTATCTTGTCAAGGACTGCGCACAGCTGTGCGCTGATGCAATGTCGCATACACACACACGTGGGCGCTGCAAAGCGGAGGGGATCGTGCCCTGCCGCGATGAGACAAATCTCTTTCTTTGCATTGGTATGCCGCAGGCGAGGCGATTGGACTCTTGATAGTTCAAAGCCTTCAGGCTGTCCGTGGGGGAGCAGTGGAATCCGTAGATGGCTGTATGAGGAACTGTAGATTTGAATCTCGTGCACACATGTGTCCTCTCCCTCGCCGTCTTACCTCCTAGGGTCGTCTGGCTTAGTCACTCACAATTCAATAGGCGAACTTGCTTATCGATAAACACATCTTCGGCTAGCTCAAGCACTTCGGTAGGAGGTAGTTCGCTCCGCTCGGCTACATTCCCTACTAGGTACTCACTCAACTGAAGTTAAGTCAGGCATTCGCCGGAAATACTGCGATAACTGCTCGCGATGGCAGGACAAGGGCAGCAGAGTAAGAGAGGGAGCCACATCACATGCGAATCAAGAGACCAGGTCTGACTCTGCCGCAGTCGACCTTGCGCAACTCTCTACGCAACAGCTATCCCAAGTCAAGAAACAGCTAGACGATGAGGTCCAGCACCTGACCAGCTCATATCAGAATCTGCGCACGGCCCAGCAAAAATTCCGTGATTGCATTGTCAGCATCAAGAATGGGATCGCCAGTAGCACCAAAGGTATACCCACCAGAAACTCGACACGATGCGCAATGCACTCATTCACGCATTGTCTAGGCAAGCCCCTCCTCGTCCCGCTGACTTCATCTCTCTACGTGCCTGGAACGCTTGCGGATACGGAGACGGTATTAGTCGATGTGGGAACTGGCTTTTACGTGGAAAAAGACGTTGCGAGCGCGCAGAAGTTCTATGAAGGCAAGATCGAAGAGCTGGGAAAGAACATCAAGGATCTCGAGAATATTGTCAACAGCAAAGCGAACAACTTGCGCGTGATTGAAGAGGTTCTGAGGCAGAAGGTATTGGCTGGTGGGGGACAACAGCAAGCTGGACAGGCCCCTAGTGCTTGAGACAGCCGTGATCCGACGAGAACTAGGAGGCAGTGAGGGTGCGCCACCGCCGGAAAAGTTATGGTTTGTAGCCTTTGCGCTGGGCAAAGACTTCGCATCCGTTGGTGGAGGGCAGTTGCACTAGGGACATTTCGCTACTGGGGAAGACGGTCCGGAGACATTCGCGAGACCGATGCGAGGACACAGGAGCAGGCACTTCGAAGATGCGTCCAAAGTCAGCGGAGACGAGCCGGCTGCCATGTGCACATAAGGTAGCGATCATTTTCTACGGCATGCTATGAATTCTGCGCTTTGGACAAGGCCAGAGAGAATCACCGGCAGAGTGCCCAAGTTCTGGGATAATATAGTCCCGAACACCACCATCATAGACACTAACTAGCAGTATGAAATCAATCGAGGCAGTTTGCATCCTGCAATATGCAAATCAGAAAATGCCAAGTCATGTTGCTCTCACTCGATTGAACGACCGGGAGTATCTAATGCCGTGTAACTTAGCTATCCCGCAACCCCACTTTCCGCTTATTTGCACCTTTCAACTTTCGAATTGCTCGCTAGTTACCTGCCATAGCGGAACGTTTCCACCTTCATCTCCACTGACAGGCGGACGGCTGCAGCATGTCTCTCAATTCGGCCTTGGACGTGCAGTCGATTGCGTCTCTTGCACAGCAACAACAACAGGACGAGCAGAATGCGGCCCACGACAGTGTCAACGCGAACGGCACCAAGCGCAAAGCCGAGGACCAAGGCGGCCAGCCGCGAGCTCGCCGAAATCGATATGTGTCCATCGCATGGTATGTTCGGATATGTGCCCGTTGTGATGGCCCGTGGGATACATTGCCAAAGACAGACATGGCTGATGGCAGGACAGTAACGAGTGCAAGCGGCGCAAGATCAAGTGCAATGGCCAGAATCCGTGCCAGCGATGCGGCAACCTGAACCTCGATTGCGTCTATGCGCCGAATTGCTGCGCCGGATTCAAGGACTCGGCTGAGTTCAAGGACATGTCGGGCCAGATCTCCATGTTGCAAGAGCACGTGAATGCCCTATATGATCAGTTCAATCAGCTGCGGTCTCAGATCGGAGGACAGCTCGCAACCGTAGGGCCGCAGTCCAACACTTCAATCGACCCTTCGTTGCAGCAGTATCCGCCCGATCGCGCAACATTCACTAATGCGCAGACCTCGCCCGGTGTACCGCTGTCTCCAGCCCACTTCCATCGACCGCGAGCCTCGAGCCAATCGCAAAACAGATACAAAGGTCCCACGAGTGTAGCTTTCAACCTGGGAGTCGCCAAGACTAGTTTGGAGTCCATGGGCATAGCCGGACCGGGCGAAGAGGATGTCAGTGGAAATGGAGAGGCTGATACTGGCACGGCAGAAGGGAGCCCTCATAGGAGTCCCACGTGGAAAGTCCCGCGTGGGCAGGCGCTGCAGCAGATGCACGCGGATAAGGATCCCATTTGGAGTATACCACAGGAAGAAGCAATTCGCTTGTGTCGAGTCTATGAGGATGAGATGGGTCTTATGTACCCAGTACTGAACATCGGCAAAGTTGTCGACTACGCCACCAAGCTGTACAGGTTCATGGAGGCTGCACATCGTTCCGGTCTCATGCAACAGGGTATGCCAGGCTCAGATGCCATTGATGATGAGGAGACGAACATTCTCAAATTGGTCATAGCCACTGCTCTGACGACAGAGGCCGGCGGTCGAAGTGAACTTGGCCAGAGATTGTTCGAGTATGTGCAGCCTGCAATTGATGCGATGCTGCTCGGGGCCGTTGGTGTTCCAGCCATTCGCATGCTCACGATGACTGTGAGTAGGGCTGAATAGTATGCAACCTGTACAAACTGACAATGGTGTAGGCCATGTACGAATTCCAGCGCGATAATGAAGGTACATCGTGGCGCATCATTGGTCTGACTGCACGACTATGCATTGAGCTGGGTCTGCACCGGCGGGAAACTTACGATGCGATTCAGGACGAGGATGATCGTACTGAAACCATGCTTCTCTTCTGGTCAATTTACGTGCTGGATAGACGGTGGAGCTTTGGCACCGGCATGCCATTCGCTCTGCAAGACTCTGACATTGGTCCGCAGATGCCTAAGCCCGAGGATCGTTCGCCATACCTGAGTGCGATGATCCAGTATTCAGCTATAGCTAGCAAGGTCTGGCGTTCCGTCGCAGCCTCTGCTTCATCTGAAAAGGGCAGCATGCCGATTAAGAACGATGAGATGGACTACCTTGACTACCAGGTCATTCAGTGGCACCGCAATATTCCACAACATCTCCGTTTCGAGCACCCCTCCTCGCCAGGGACCACAAGAGTGCCAATACCCGTTGGCCCGTCGCCGTCTCGGGGCGCCCATCGCCTGCGAATCATACTATATCTCCGAGCAAATCAAGTACGACCACAATGCATCGCTATGTCTGAGACGTCTGCTAACCTTTGACCTTTTACTCTTCCAGATGCGCATTCTCATATATCGCCCAGTCTTACACTCTGCAACCTCCATCATCCAGCACCGCGAGCAGGCCCAAACAGCAGTCGATGTAGCGAAGGATACTATTCGAGTGCTAACACACATCAACCAGACCTCGGACCTATATCGAACCCAGCAGGTCCTTTTCAACGCTTTCCTCACTTCGGCTCTAGCAGTGCTGTTCCTCGCCGTCTCACACACGCCTGCAGTTTTCGCCGAAGACGTTAGAGAGGAGTTCTACATGGCTCTGGATCTCGTTCGTGGCTTCAGCAAAGGCAGTTGGGTTTCCAAGCGGCTTTGGAAGACCATTCGAGTCTTGAAGGAAGTTGGTCCCAAACTTGGTTTGCAGATGAAAGAAAGTTCTGCTGTTGCTACTGCTGTCACTGAGCCCGCTCAAATACCCAAGAAGCCCTCTGCTAGCGGTAGCAATATCCAAGACGACCCCGATCCTAACCGCTCTGCCGCGGTAGCTATGGCAGGCCTGGCAGGCGTGAATGTCGATGAAATGAATCTGTACAACGGCGGAGTACCACAACAACATCAGTGGAACGCCACGAACCATGGCGCCAGTTCCAGCCCAGAAAACATGGTACATGATTTGAGCAGTCTATTTGAGGCTGCTGGAGGTTTCCATGGATTGGCTGGCGTCAATGGTACTGACTCTGTAGGAGGGTTTGCAGCAGACCACACTGGCGTGGGAGACGGGTTTGGCGACGAAGGGTTGAGTAATATACTGCAGGAATTATTTTGATTCAATGAAATCTAATCAGCGCGGGAAAATAATGGGATCAAAGTAATTTCATAAGGATCTGGAAGGAAAGAAACGAAAGGGGAAGGAAAGCAATGGGTGGGCGCTCTGATGAACAAGGCTGATAATGATAACGATAATTATGATAATAATGATGCATGCCCGCACGTACATAGAAGTGAATTCATGGACGTTCTGTATGCGCAGTTCCAAATCACGAGGTTATGACGAGACCGGGGAAGCTGTTCCGCCTTGGAAAGTTGATGTTGGGAAGCACTCACTCTAGCATAACACACAAGCTCAGTATGGCGAGTAGAGGAGGTCTCTGTAGCTCCGGAGACAGGGTTGTGAATCGAGGGCCTCAGTCATCAAAATGACTTGACGAGAGAGAAGATACAGGTAGCGAGAGAAAAACAAAAAAAGAAGCTGACCAAGGTCTTGAGAAACAATGTACTATTTCGTACCGATAGGGGGTGAACGCTCGGCAGACCGAAATAAAGGTCAAGCTTCTGGCTCGACGCAAATCATGCATCCTAATACGCGTCTCTGCTGGAAATGCTTCGAGAGATCAGACTGACTGTCAGTTGATCACGTCTTTTCGTCTCCTCCCAACTCGACATACACCCGATGCAGGGAACGGAGTCGTTCCAACACCGCTACTCCGTGCCTGAGTAGTAGGCTATGCCGGAATCCTATCCCCCGCCGCCCACCCTCACAGCACTCCTCGTGGTTTGAGTGTCCCCGTTTACCATCCCAGGAGAACTTACGTCTTCCCTCCGCTTAGTTCTCTTTTTTTGCTCCTTGATTTCATCCACAACTCCATCGCCGTTCATTTCTTGATCCTCAATCTCCCCATCATCTCTCTCCTCATTGGGATCTGCCATTTCACTATCACCAACTGGTGGTCCTGGGATTCCCTCGTCGGTGACGGGCCCTTGACTCGCCAGAAGGGCCTCCTGGTTCTGCGCCCATAATCTACACTCGTCGAGCTCGTTGACGTCTCCTGGTCGGCTACGTAGCCACTTCATTCTGGGTCCGGTCTTGGCAATCTCAGAAACACGAAAACCGTAGATTCGAGGTTCGTAGATGAATCCTTGTCCAAGGCCAGGAGCGAGGTTTTTGGGCGTCACTCCGTTGATAGATTCGGGCTGTTTGGGCAGGGGCGCGGCTGCAGGCTCCGGCGGAGCTGGGGGGACACCAGATTGGAACTGTTCGGCTGTGATCGATACCGATAGCGATGACTGCCGGTTCTTGGAGGACTGGCCAGCTGAAGGAGACTCTGCTGGAGCTGCCGGTCGTGTCCCACCAACATCAAGCTCGGGAAATGTCATGAAGAACAGGCAGCCGAAAGTTGTGCCGAAGAAGGCACCATCGACAGTCTGAAAGCGGCTGTTTGGGGGCGTGAAGACATCGAGGCAGCTGGGGCAGAAGAGCTTGACAGTCTCTTGTCCCGGAATGTCTGAACAGCCCACGGGCAACACTTTCGCGCCATGGCAGAAGACGCGTGGGCAGTGCCCAAAATGTCCCAGCTCATACTTTTCTGCCATCTGCTGTATCCCCTGTCGACTGGTGATGAAGCGCTGATGTATCAGGCCATATAGCATCTCTGCTGAGCTCTCGATCACGCTGAGGTCACTGGCCATGCGCAAATGTCTCCGTTCTGCTGCAGCAGCAGCAGCATCCGCTGCTCGCCTATACCCTCCACGCGCAATCAGATCACCGTCGTGCATCTCGTCCTCGTCCTCATCCTCGTCCTCTTCCTCTTCTTCGTCATCGTCGCTCGCGTCTTCTGGCTCCACGTCTAGTATCATCTCCAGAGCTTCTTTGTACATGGGCACCTGACTCTGCAGGCCCGTTAAGTTGAAGTCATCCTCGATGAAGTCCTCCGACACTTCAGCAAAGTACTCGTGGCCTACCAGAGAGCAGAATGCGGATATCCAGGACTCGGGTGCTTGGCTAGAGGACGACATGGTCGCGGAAAGCTCGTCCAGCGCGACTTGGTGCACGCTGCAGGCCTTCTCGAACGCCGAGCTGAGACTGCGTGCGCGCAAGTTCTGTAGTGCGGGTCGCGACGGCGCCGGGGCCCCTTGATATTCGGTGTGCGAATGATCCAGTGGTGCTCGATGGTACGGCGGAGAGCTCGAGCGATCGCTGCTCAGCGGTATGTCGATGACGAGGTCGTAGTGATCAGCCAGTTTCGCGGCGGTTCCCTGCGGCTTGCTTCGTGCGTGTGTGTGCGCTGCTCGTTTAGATCTCGCTCGGCTTGCCGAATGAGTTGGTACCACCCAAGCCGTGGTCGGGAGGGTGAGATCCTGTGTCGAAAGACGAGCGTGCTGTCTATTGGTGCTGCCTTTGTTGTGTTTCGTGAATGCCTTTTGGCGAGTGAAGAGCTAGCCTGTCTTTGCTTCCCACACTTGCATATCTGGCGTCCGTCCCCACCACGTCGTCGTCGTCGTTGTTGTCGTCGCAGCCGTCGTCGTCGTCGTCGTCGTCGTCGTCGTTGCTGCCGCGGCTGATCGCGACTCACTGCTTAGAGCATGCGTGCAGACGTAGGACCAAAGTATAGATGCTGCAATGGCCGGGTTCTGCCCTGCTCGATCGCAAAGACACCCACCGCCTGCTGACTCAGGTCGGCGATATTCTGATGCTGCAGGCTGCAATTATCTATTGCGGTAGGAGGAGGATAATGGACAGTGGGTTCGAAGAGCATAGGACACGCAATAGCGTACAGCGCGTGGTTTGTGCCAGGGACACAATGAGGCTGAGGCTTGGATAGATCGAATTCATAGATGGAGGGGTCGTATATGTAGAACTGAGTTACCTTAGTTCTAGGTGGGTTTCAGCGTCGGAAGATCCCTTTCGACAACACTGCATGTGACCTGACGTCGGGAGACGATGTATGGGCAATAGCAAGTGACAAGGCGAGTCGCCGTCGCCATTCACGTCGTCCTCCACGCTTCAGGACAGAAGCCTCCCTCTACGCTGTCTCATGGATGCGGAATATTGACTGCGAGGGAGCGGGATCCGAGTCACGTGACACATGTAGAGGCGTTCCTCGTCCCACAGCTTTCTGCCGCCCGTGTTCACCGACGGTACCAAGATTGCTTCGATGTACATAGAGATTGAATTACGTAGGTACAGGTAGTTCTACAGACAGTTTTCTACGATTCCGATGCACAGACGCTTCGTTATGCCAGACAAGACACGCGGCAATCTAGAGGCTTCACGATATCCTACGGAGTGGGCTGCCTACAGATCTTTTGTACCATACGGCTACCTAATGACCAAGCCGAGCGCTTCTGGCGCCATACAAGATTCAGACTAGAAAGGTCTTGAACACGAAATTGATCACCTAGGTACCTATAATGAACACCGTAGACTACCAATGATGCCTTGAGCGAGGACTGGCCAGTAAGTTCCACTGGTCGTATTTCTTACATATTGCGGTGTACGCGACGAGCTATTAGGCATTGCAGGTTCATCTACTCCTTCGGGTACTTGGTGGTTTGTTTGACGCCAACATACAGGTTGTCAAGCTGTACAGCTGCATCTGACCCCTCTGAATTTTCCTGTAGTATGTTGCCAATTTGCCGGAATGCCCAATAAGGCAATCCGGCATGAAATTCTTGCAAGCAGGTTCATGTCTTTCATACACACACACGACCAAGAAACCTGTACATTACGCGCCAACATACAGCGGCAACTACAGGTAAACAGTATCAAACAGTATAACGACATATTGGCAGCCGTGCGCAGTCTCTTACGGTGTCCGCCAACCTTGCGAAAACCTTACCGAACAACGCCTTAGCCATCCATTTTTCAGGCGTTGGCGGGTCCACAGGACTATTCAGCGCCTTGTCCGCAACAACGCTACACGCTGTAGTGGCCTCTACGAGACAATAGTACGTGCACTGGAGGTTTGCGATACTCCCGCCCGCGGCTAGTCGAAAAAAGACTTTGAGAGTAGACGTGCTACGAGATACAGTATCTTGCTGTTCGACTCGCTCTGTCGCTAACCTCTACAGAACGAAATAAAATGCCAAGAAAGCACATAGGCTGTACCTGAAGTTGCTAAATAAGAAGACTCGTTCGCTGCTCCTTAGAAACATCTACGCCTACGACGGCAGATATACTCTTACTAGATACTTCGAGATTCTTAAGTCTCTCGTAAGTGCAGCTGTTCGACTACAAGACAATATAGCAAGCGTTAGATAGATGTGTATAGTAGGTCCTACCGAGAATACCGCAGCTCTCTTCAAGCATTTTTACGACGGGCAGAACCTCCGGAGGCGAAAAAGCTTGGTTAAAAGCTTTACTCCAAAGCCAACAACAACCCTTACCCTCTTCTACTCTCTCCTAGTAACAAACCTGTATACATTGCTGCAGTAGTCTTTCCCTCTAGCCAAATTATAGCTAGATACTTAGGACGGAGTCCGAGAAACGTAAACGTATTGCCTCCAAGTATGCTACTCTACGTAAGTACTATAGACTTCTATACGACCTTATAGAAGCAGCAAAGAAGTAGCGGCAAGCAGCAGCAAAGCCTTAGGATTGTATTGCTCGCTCGTATTAAACTCCAAGATTTAAGGTATAAATACTTAGTATAGAGCAACTGAACAAGCTAGTAGAAAGCAGCCTAATTTAGGTCGCGTAGTATTTGAAATCCTTATAGCTTCGTCAATCTTCGATCTACTAGAGCTATAGTCTAGGGTCTAGCTAGAGCGGTCGTGCGATTACAAACCGGCGGAATAGACTCTTAAATCGTACGTAAAACCAACACTACTAGCTATCTATAGAGCTAGAGCAAAGATAGGGTCATTCGATAGATATATGAATATATGAATATAGGCTACAATGTCTACTATACAAGACCGATAGGCTTAGGATAATAGGCAGACAAAATTATATCGAATATAGTACTAGTAGTAGACATGCCCTCTACTACCGAAGCGTTATATAGTATCTAAGATCGTTGCAGAACGCGTTTACCGGCGATAATATAGTACCTCTGCAATGCTTCCTAATAGATAAATCGTTATGTTATAAGAACGGAATAGGAGACAACGCTGTTAGACAGCTGATATATAACAGACATCTAAGACGAGTAGATCGAGGGCGTTATCGGTAACTAAAGGATGTGTATACAGTAGGTAGTATAAGGCGTACGCTGGACCGGTTCCCCGTATTAGTTCTAACAGTAAGTAGATATCGAAAAACGTTAATACACCCTGCCTCCTACGCTACGACACGTAGCATGCGAGGTATATAAGGCTAAATTGGTAGACCTAGTTACCCCCTCCTACATGTCTACATGTACCTCCTAGAAGGTACGTCAGCAGACCTAGCAGTTCACTAGAGTTGTGCCCCCGTAGAATGAAAAGCTTGCGGAAAGTAAGCTCGTCGATGCAGACAGAGCACGAAGCTTGATCTCCTCGTCCTGCGTCGCGGCCGACTATTATAGAAGTTGCTCCTCGGCTCCATATCCTCTTTTTTTTATCGATCTTGTCCTCCTGCAGTTGCCTACTGCAGCCGTCCAAAAACCCAGGTACAGTATTCGAGAACAGGGCAGAGTGTGCGTAGCGTTAGCTTTCAGCGAAGGCTGCTAGAGGGAGGGGAGACGCGTGACCTCGTCGCATGAGTGGGTGTCCAGGTATCGCCTGAAGGTCATTATCCGTTGCTGTCGCAAGTGAGAGCAGTGGATACGAGAACCGTGGACAGCGACTCGTCAATCTGGACCGTCGAGTTTGTAGCGGTGACGTGACCCTGTAGGCAAGGTAGGTACAGGTAGTAGTTACCTACCTAGTAGATTTGGGAGGTGAAGTCAATACAAGCTTTGGCACCGTTCCTGCCTAGCGGGTGGGAACGCGTCAAATTTAGTTCATGCTCTGACCGAAAACACCCGCACTTTTCATTGCTGCATACCTACATTGGACTAAAGACGCGGAAAACGACAGATCGTTCCAGTACTACCTACTCCCTGCCGACACAAACCCATCACAAATTGACCGAGCTCTGTACTCCAATCACAGATCCAAGCGCGGATGCATACGCCGTCGCACAATTCGGTAATGTCAGTCGGAGATTATTGAAAGACAGGTTGCGGGATTTGCCAGTTGCTAATCGATTAATAGACGCCGCTGTGATAGGACGTCGTGTACCGATTACTCCTGACTCTGCTGTCAAGCGAGAAGATGGCAACGTCGGCGCCGCCTTGTACGCCACCTACAACGATGAAAATGTCTACGGGCACTCGAGCCCTTATATCAAGGAGGCCGGCGAGAAGGTCAAGCGAGAAGATGGCAACGTTGGCACCGCCTTGTACGCCGCCTACAACGATGAAAATGTCTACGGGCACTCGAGCCCTTATATCAAGGAGGCCGGCGAGAAGGTCAAGCGAGCAGAGGGCAACGTCGGCACCGCCCTGTACAAGGCCCTCTCCGATAGAAATGTCTACGGGAGGTTGACCCCTTATATCCAGGAGGCCGGCGAGAAGGTCAAGCGAGAAGATGGCAACGTCGGCACCGCCTTGTACGCCGCCTTCAACGATGAAAATGTCTACGGGCACTCGAGCCCTTATATCAAGGAGGCCGGCGAGAAGGTCAAGCGAGCAGAGGGCAACGTCGGCACCGCCTTGTACAACATCCTCGCAGATTATGTCTACGGGAAGTTGACCCCTAATATCAAGGAGGCCGGCGAGAAGGTCAAGCGAGCCGAAGAAAAGCGCGCGGAAGAGTAACACTGCAAGCTACGGCCGCAGCCGCGAGCAAAATAATCTGGTGGGCATGCATTTTCTCTCACAGTAAGTCAAGAGGGATGTGTGCAATTTCGTGACTTGAAGATCTGATGGAAATGGGAGCGACTTGGGCGAGTTGCTGAGGTTTTGATCAGCAAGAATGGGCAAAGCAGTCCTTACTTATACATTATCGCGCAGTCGCTGGGACATAGGCAATTCAGTGCGCCAAAGCGGTATGACTCTATACGCTCCATCCAACTGGGCTTATCGTGTGATGCTGGAGGGCTGCGATGTCAGTACATCGTGGCCCTGCCAGCTTGCTTCCTTACGCCCCGGCGATGTACTCCAAAGCTGAATGATACGATACTCGAAGACTTCAAGGGGTCAGACAGGCGGACTACCTTTGGTGAATGTAACGTCTTGAGGCGGGCCTGCGTTGAGCTCTACCCAGAGCAAGTCCCTTAGCTAGGTCGTTAGCTCAGGTATCTAATCGTTGCCTACACACCGTAGCCCTACCTGCTTTCTTACGCATACCCCGGCGATGGACCACAACACTGAATTACGCGGTACTCGAAGACTTCAAGGAGGCCAGGCAGGCGGACTACCTTTGGTGAATGTAACGTCTTGAGGCGAGCCTGCGATAAGCTATCCCTAGAGCAAGTCCCTTAGCTAGGTCGTTAGCTATCTACTCGTTGCCCATTCTATATCGCCTCCCTCGTAGCACGTACTTCAGCTGTTCGACAACATGGCGCCAGCACAAGAAGATGATACGTGATGGTCCGTGCAAGATGTCAAGTTCGGCCACAGCTCCGCCGACGCTTGGCGTGCGATCTGAGGGACTCCATACAACTCGGGAGTGCTTCAACCTTTGTATCGCTCAAGAGGGGACGTTGGAGTCCCTACCGGTGAGCTCCAACACCCATGCCAACGAACGTCAGCCAAAAACCTTGTTGCAGTGGAATACATTACCCATTTGTGGTAGTTATCTCTAGAGCTATCATCTTGCCCCGCCCCGTATACGAACTATGGCAGATGTTGGCTGTGGAATCTCAGCGGCTAATACGTCGGAAGCAGAATGTGACACCTGCAACAGCGAAACCTGCATCGTATCACAACGTGTATGTAGTTACCCTTGCTTATCGACACAGGTTGCGTTGGAGCTCGTATGCCCAGAGGAACAGAGAGCGAGGGCAGAGTGATTCCCTTGGATCAAGAGTCTTCCTAGTCTGAAGAGTTCCCACCTCTTCGAGATTTTCCATCTCTTCTACAGATTCCATTTGCAAGATCTATCTAGTCTGGACAATACATCGCGATGCAGAGCCTCAGCGAGCACGACTACAAACACTCTCTGTTGTCAGATAGCGACACAGAAGTTGGCGATAATGATACCGAACACTACCAACCTCGTCCCCGAGGCCGACAGCTCTATTGGCTATGGATAGCACCAATCTTGACTGCCATTGCCTCTTGCTTGATTACTCGCGCCTACTACACGCATCCGTCATGGCCGGAGCGCATGGTAGCAGCAGACACATACTGTGAGTACAGTGGTATTCCTGGCCACTCTTCATTCGCTTTTTTTTAGGCCAGTTTATTGCAGCAGACGAGCAAAAACTAACTAGCAGAAAGCTCCATTATACAAAGGGTTCAAGCCACGCATAGAGAAAACTGTCATGGGTGGCGATCTCTGGGGCAACAAAAGCAACATCTTCGAACAAGACCCTTCGCCTGCTGTCGACAAGGCATGGGAAACTATCACACACGCCAAGTATACATTGATGCCGGAGGCGGAGCTCCTCAAAATGGATTTCTCCGTAGAAGCGGCAGTAGAATGGCCAGACCAACCAGGCAAATACATGGTCGAATTTCATGCCTATCACGTCATGCACTGTCTGGACGTGGTGCGAAAAAACTCATACCATAATTTTCCGCACTACTAGTAAGCTACCTCCTACATTGAGTAGCCTTCCATTACTACCCACCTTAAGGTATACCTTGAGTTGATATAAATCTTCTTTGCTAACAATATCCTGCTAGTAACCCCGAAACCTTAAACGCCATCCATTGGACGCACTGGACTCACTGCCTCGAGATTCTCCGCCAGGAGCTCATGTGCATGCCCTCTATGCATCTCGGCCGGATGGTATGGCAGCAAGGTCAATCACAGGCGTTTCCGGAATTCCGCACAAATCGAATGTGTATGCGATGGGAAGACTTTGATGACATGGTTACAAGCATCCAGCTGCCTGAAGAGGTAAGTTACATAAATGGTGCCTTTTTTTTCTTTTTTTTTCTCTTTTTTTTCGTTTTTTTGCTTACCACGAGGGGAAATTCCCATCTTCTTTTTTTAGTACGGAATAAAAGTCGTGACCAACGCACACAAGCCTGCGGGGGCAAGTGAAAGATATACTCCACCAGAAGGCTTCGAAACGATCGAGAGGAATGCTGAGTGGATGAAGAAGATTCTCGCACAGGGCTTGTCAGTTCATAAGGATCAATGATGCTGCTCTGATATATAGTACATGTGTTTATTTTAGGGGCTGTTCAATAGCGTAAAATCCAAGTTGCCTCAGTTACTGTAGTGTGTGATTGCAGTTGATTGCAGTTGGTAGTAATACGGGTTTCAATGCGGTTGAACTGCGATGAACTACGATGAACTGCGATGAACTGCGTCAATTTCATACAGACATGATAGCAAGGACAATTGGAGATGAGAGCGTCATAACGATAATGAAGTCAATGATGTCTGGATTATCTGCCAGTCCCAAACATCTAAGTATCGTACGCACTCGACAGAAGTAGCAGCGGTCGCTCAAATTTCGCTCACTCGGTCAACAAATAATAGCATGCTCATTCAGTCTTAAAACAGTACCCCCGAAGCCAGTTGAGAACTGGCATCGCTACTCCTTATCAACGGCAACCTTCTTCGTGGCTGGCTCATCCTCTCCGACGGGGGGTTCGTCTGCTTTCCTCTTGGCACCAGCAACGGCAGAGCTTGACGAAGTGCTCGCTAATGTGTCCCTCGGCTTCATCGCGACAGGGCCAATAACGTTCCGGTCTCCTACGACGGTAATGCCGCAATTGACTGTAAGTTCAATCTTGAGTGGGCGGCGACGCTTGCTTGAGCACTCTACGTCGGAGTTTGCGGCAGCATTGGCGGCGTTGATCTGATTGACAGCGTGTAGTAGAAGTGTGCTGAACTTGGTGGCATCGGCTAGCGGATGTGGTGATGTTGGAACCAAGTTGTTGCAGCCTTGAATGTTGTGAGCAGCGTTGACTGTAAGCTTCATAGGGATAGAAGAATCGTCTTCTTCGTCGTCCATGTCGTCCAAGTCGTCGTCCGACTCGCTGTCTTCATCTGTGGCTGTGTATGGTGGTGGGGCGCTCTCTGGTGGCGTCTGTTGCTGCTGCTGTCGTGCAAGTTCGGCAAGCATTTTGTTGGTAACGTGTGTAATGGAGTCCATCTTGCTGCGAAGCAGAAAGCTGTTTCTTTTGAGAAGAAGAGAGTACTGTAGCCTGGTACGGTGATGTAAAGCAGGTGGTGGTGATGGTGGTGGTGGTGGTGGTGTCTCAGTAAGTTCTCGCAAGAAGTGTAGACAGGTCTGATGATGATGATGATGGAAGAGAAAGCCAAGGTAGTGTGTAGGAAGGAAGGAGGGAGGGAGGTACTTATGGTTTGTGAGAGGCGTGAAGAGTGGAAGGCACGACCTCTGCTATTGTCATGCATCGTATTGTGGCTTCAATAGAGATCAAGACGGGACCCATGCGCGGCGCACCTACAATAGGTGGGACAGGGTACTACACCACCCACATGCAGCATTCAGCTGTGACTGGCTGCCAAAGTCATCTGAAAATCTGTGACATCTGTCGACAATACGAACCTTTTCCACGGCATGTGTCGCCCGAGCCCTACCGGCTACCGCCCAGCCAGCCAGCCAGCCAGTGGGTTTATGTCGGACATGCTGTATAGGTACCTATACCGGTAAGCGACATGTATTATTGTCGGTGGCTGTCATGGAGAAAAAAGTCAAAATGCGCTCGGGAGGAATTCTTATTGTTGTTGCTATTGTCCAGGTTCTTGGCAATCTTTTTGCGTTTGACGCTAACCCAACTTGGAAATCCTGCCTTCCCGACTCCCGTCCACGGCACCGTGGCACCGGCAAGTGGAAAGCGAGACTTCTGTATCTCGCCCGCTTCATTGCCGTTCTCTTTGCGCTGCGGCGTTTCAACTTCCGTCATACCCAACTGCTACCATATGCAGAACTGTGCTGCAGTCTGTCACGAAATTCTCGGCTCATTGTCACAAATCACCACGTGAAGCGCGTAACGCGGAGCAGCAGTTTCGAGCAGTTCAAGCACCCTTCCTTCCATCGGGCCATGCTGCCACGAGTTCCATCCTTCAATTTGCAGAACCATGGCGACATATACAACGGAACGGCTACCTACCTGGTATAGCAGCACTCAGGTCTCGGATGTTAGTCTTGAATATGGCCACCGAATCCGCGCTTCTACCTTCGAAGTGAAGAAGTCACTATGTGAAGGTGATGTCAACATATGTCCCTCGTGGGGTATCGGCTTGCTCTACAGCAGATGAAAGTCCACAACGTCTTATGGCGTTTACTCCATGTTCGACACTGTACATCGTGATATGTACCATTGTTTCATGTTCAGTATAGACCATCTTCTAATACAGCACACTGTGCAGCTGCAATTTTTGACCTGTATCTTTTCTCTGCCCTCTCAAGATGCACATCTATGACTAGCCCCTCATGACTTCGTACCCTCTCGTAATCCATCTACGCCTTCGTAGCAGGCACCAATCCCTCTTTCTGCAAATACTCTGTAATCTGCACAACAGCAGCTTCCACGCTTGTGTTCACTGAGTCGATGTAAATCTCTGGTTTCTCCGGCTTTTCATAAGGCGCAGAAACACCAGTGAATTCCTTGATTTCCCCAGCTCGAGCCTTTTTGTACAGCCCCTTGGGATCGCGCTTTTCCGCGTTCTCGACGGAGATGTCTACATGAACCTCGATGAAGGGGAGAGGGGTGTCGACGTTTTTGGTCGAGGCGTGGAGGTCGCGGGCGAGTTGGCGGTCGGCTGCGTATGGCGAGATGAAAGAGGTGAGAGCGAGAGTTGTCGAGTCGGCGAAGAGTTTTGCGACCTGTGGGAGGATAGCGTAGCGCTGGTCAGACAAGAGGAGTTGATCTAGAAATGGTATACAGAGAACGCACCTCTGCGATACGGCGAATGTTTTCTACGCGGTCCTGCGGCGAGAAGCCCAAATCTTTGTTCAATCCGAAGCGCACATTGTCGCCGTCGAGTCGGTAGGTCTGGAGACCCTGCTTGAGCAAATGTTGCTCGAGAGCCTCTGCAATGGTCGATTTGCCTGAAGCTGACAGGCCAGTGAACCAGATAGTGGCGCCCTTTTGCCCACGGAGCTCGCTGCGCTCCTTGCGTGTGAGGCCGGCGTGCCAGGTGATGTTGCTGGCCAGAGCTTCAGCACTTGTACTTGCTCGCGTGTTTCGTGAAGGAGAATTTCCAGAAAACTCCCGGCCTCAATCGTACACTCACGTTGCCATGGTTTCTTTCTGAAGTCGTGTCTGAAAAATGCTGTGGTGCAGTGTGGTGAAATCGCGATAGGTCAGATTGAAAGCGAATGAAGGACGGTCAACGCAACGGAAGAAGTTTGCTGTTGAGCCTTACTACTCGTGTGGAGCTCTCAATTTGTGACAACCGACCGGGACCACAGCCGATGTCGTGATATCCTCACAATGTGGTGTTTGCCCTGCATGATGATCGCCGCCCGAATAATTGTTCCGTTGTCCCACGTGCGAGCTGGCCCGTGCGTCGGGGATCTTGTTCTCCTGGCCTCACCTCCTCGCTTTGACCTCTTTCTGATTATTGCTCGCTTACTGTACCCTATCTCCATCTCTTTCAAGTTCACGCTGCTCTTTGCTATCAGGGGGAGGTCTCGATGGTCAGACAATGTTGCCGAGATGTCGACTGTGAGACTTGCTCCATACCAGCAGTCTGCCCCCCCCCGGGCGCCCACAAGGGCATACCCACGGCCCAGGAGCGATAGAAGCACGCGTTGATCAAGAGGCCCTGCCAGATACGAGGCTAGATATGATTGTTCTAGCGCTGGTCCATGTATAGGAGTGCCGGTGCCGACAGTACCATCATGAAGTCGGTGCGTGTAGACATCTCTCTCATGGCTGCCCAACGAGCAAACTCGCAAGTCGCACTGGTACGTAGGCAAGAGGCGATGTTAACAGCAACGAGGTGGTTTGCTGCCATATCCGCAGTCGAGAGGCATGCATCGGGCAGACGCTCTCTCACATGGTCCCGACAGAACCCACCGTATTTCTGCAGAACCCATGGCTTGCAGTCGAACGCAACTTAAGTTACCTCGGTACCTGTCGTCGACACGGTTCTACTCTTCGAATCAATGGAATTTGCGCTGTATGTGCTGGAGGGGCGCCTGCCAGGCAGACACGGGACAAGATGAGCTAGAGATGTTCCCGGCGATGATCATGAAGCTGCAGGTGCAGATGGCGCAGAGTGTGGAGGCAGGTACATGTAGGTGCAAACAATCCTCGTCACCATCAATTTCAGCCTTCGCTGCTGTCTTTGCGCTCGTTCTTACTCCTCCTCCCTACTGTAACTATCCACCTGCTGTCTAGAAGCCCTCATCGTTGCCGATTCGTTTCCACTCGCCTCCAAGGTGCGCCAGTTGTAGCTTGCTTCCCAGCCGTCGACCACCACAATTTAGCCACCTTAGCAGACTGCAATCGCCACATATATGTATATGTGTGCGCAACCGCTATAGTCGCATCTCAGTTGTGCATATATTTGAGCATATAGGGTGCGTTGCCTGGGTGCCTCAGAGCCACACGACCACACGACCACACGTCCACACGACCACACAAAATGCCCCGCGACCGCGAGGGCCTCTTTTACAATGCAAAGCAACCGAAACACTCCACTTCAACCTCCTCAAGTCGGCGATCTTCGACAACTGTGGACGACAAGGGCTGCATAATCACGAGGTCTGTTGAGCTGAAATCCACTTGCCATTTGATCACTTCTAACATACCACCAGAGGCTTTGTGGTTCCGAGCAGGTCTTCGTCGCAATCCTCAATGGCCAGGAGCACCGCTTCTTCATTCGAAACTTCCGGCACGCCCCCAACACCAACCGACAGCGCATCACCAAGCTTCTCGCGGTCCACTGCCTTCATGTCTAAGTCTTCGTTGCGCCGGACAAGCTCGTCGGCATCTTCATTGCGACGTTCAATTCTGGCCTCGAATCGAAGCGAACGAGCTGACCTTGAGCGCCGGCAGACCTGGCAAACTGATGACTCGCTGTCCGCCTCCCATGGCAGCCGGCTGGATGATGACGACCTTGCAGCCACCTTGTGTTGTGCTCAGCCTGCGGCCAGCTCAGACGTATTCCTTGCGCCGCCCGCCATCGCCATCCCAGGTGTCAGAGCCGACCGTGCCTGGCAACCTCACCCACTCAGACAGGTCGCTCCCGTCCGTCGCACCAAGAGCGAGCAGACTAACCTAAACAACCTCACGATGCGAGAGAACAGAAAGGCTCGGTCAAAGTCTGCACAAGATGCCCCGAAAAGGGTCGCGAATGTCAAGATCGTGCTTCGCGAGCACGCTGATGATGCTATCGCATCAGATAGCGAGGATGACGACGACGAGTGCAATACTGCTCTTTCGCTTCGCATCTCTGCCCAGCGGAATCGTCTAGACTATGCCACACGGCGCGCTTTGACTGACGAAAAGAACGCTGCAATCATGCACCGAGTACAGCAAGTTGCAACGCCGCCTGAGCTCTATTCGCCCATCTCGACACCTGTTCCCGATGCCTCTGACATAACAGCAGATCTCATTCAGGTCTGCCAGAAATTGGAGCGCGTCTATGCGGATAATGCAATTGCTTCAGATAGCGAGTCTGACGATGACTACACGTGCAAAGGCGATCCAAAGATGACTGCCGCACTTCAACAGGCTGCCATACATGGAGTTCATAACGCCGTAGCAACCCAGATCGATGCGGCTGCCTATATGGGAGTCGAACTACAGAAGCGAGCAATGTCAGACGCGGGCCTTGCTTCTCGAGTCACGGATCCCAGCCACTCTGTCAAGCTCAGCCCACATAGGCGCAACGTATCGGCAGGCAATCTGACTGTCCGGCTGATCCCACCACAATCAACGAAAGGCGCAGAAGTGTATGAACATGATGGTAAGACTCCCATCGAAGTGGCGACGTTCGATAAGGGAGCAGTGCTAGCAATGAGGTCTCTGCGGCCCTCAAAGACTAGACCAAAGCCTACGAAGGGGGTGCTGAAGAAGACTGGATCTCCACCATCGACGGGTGTCTCGACCGCAGAGTGTTCGCCCTCGAAAAATGTGCAGACTCGAATCAGTCATGGCAAAGACGTGGACGGGCTTCTGAAGCCCATGCCACCGCCAAAACTGATCTTTAAGCAGCCAGCGCAGTCGACTGCGTCTGAAAATGGAGCAGACAAGGCTGCCCTTTAGATCGCTAACGGATCGGTGGAGCAAAATGAGGGACGTGGGGCGAGAGGTAATTGATCGGCGCTGTTACAGTGGGCTGTTAAGGTAGTACGATGATGAGACGGGAGCAGCGGGGAGTGCATGATTTGTTATTTTGCGTTTCAGGGGTATCTTTGCAATACCCCCTTCTCAGCTTTCCTGTAAGATAGCTAACTCCACGCGCTGTGCGCATGGGCTCGGCGCAGCAAAACAAGTCGTACAAGCTCCTTCAGTATCAGACAAGAGCAAACGAAGTTCACATCCGGCCGCTTCCACAAAGATTCCCCTTTCCTTTCGATCTCTCGATATTGAAGAATATGTTCGGCGTGAGAGTACATGTAGCAGGGACTGCTTGGGATAGAGCATCCCTTTCTTCCCCGGTAGGTACTACCTACTCTCCATTATGTTCTTCCCTACCTAGGCAGGAGACAAAGCCTCCTTCACATACTTTGCCGGTAAAAAGGGCATCTTGGACACGACCGCTTTCCTCGCTTTGCCGCGCACTTTGACCAGAACTTCTGTTCCCGCTTTGTGTTGACCATCCTTGATATAGCCCATTGCAATGTTCTGCTTCAACGTGGGCGACGGGCAACCGGATGTGATTCGGCCGATTACTTGTTCGGTGGCTGCGAGGGGGAGAAACATGTGGGGTTAATGGAGGTTGGAAGGACGGGAGGAAGGAAGGAAGGAAGGAAGGAAGGAAGGAAGGAAGGAAGGAAGGAAGGAAGGAAGGAAGGATTGATGGAAGGAAGGAGGGAAGGAAGGATGGATGGAAGGAAAGAAGGAAGGAGAGAGAGATACATACCAGCATCGAGAACTTCTGCTCCTTCTCGTGCGGGGGCTCCTTGGACGATAAATCCCACTCGACGACGAGTCACTCCCACTCCACCTTCTTTCTTGGGAGTAATCTGCGGTATGATCGTTTCGGCGCCGTGGAAGTTTGCTCGTTCGCCTGATCGTCGGGACTTGGGAATGATCCAGCTGAGGCCTGCTTCGACAGGCGTGGTGGTATCGTCGAGATCGTGTCCGTAGAGACACATTCCGGCTTCTAAGCGGAGAGAATCTCGGGCTCCTAGGCCTGCGAAGCGGAGCTGTGAGGGTGTTGCTACGTTGAGCAGGTGGCGGGTGACGGAGACGGTTTGGGAGGGGTGGATGGATAGTTCGAACCCGTCCTCGCCTGTGTAGCCACCTCGTGAGGCGACTATGGGAAGGGATTCACCTGAAGGAAGGTCGAGAGTGATGTATTTGGCGGTTCCGAAATACCATTTGGACATGTCGACTTTGCAGTTTGTTGCGAATGCTGATTGGAGGATGGAGGCGGAGAGGGGTCCTTGAAGGGCAATGAGACCGTAGGGTTTACTGTCGGCTTCAAGGTGGCGGAGAGCGACTACGGGGTTGACGGTGTTGTCCCAGTTGGAGATTGCTGAAGAGAGATACTTGTAGTCCTTCTCGCGACAGCCCGCATTGGTGACCAGGTAGAATAGGTGCTTGGGGCCAGCTTCTAATCGAGTGATGATGCAGTCGTCTCCAATGCCGCCTGTCTTGGGGAGGAGAAGAGCTGAAAGAGTTGATTGTCCTACTTTGAGCTCTTTGACTCCAGAAGGCGTGATACTTTCGAGAAAGGCTTCGGCTCCAGGGCCTTCCACATGGTATTGAACCATGTGTCCGACATCGAAAAGAGACGCCTTCTCGCGAGTCCAGGCATGCGAGTCGCCCACTGACAAGTCAGAATACTGGACTGGCATGCTGTACCCACCGAAAGGAACCATCTTGCCGCCGTGTTCGAGGTGGAGATCATAGAGCGCCGTCCTTCCAAGGTTCTCCTCTGTGAACATTTCTGGCGCTGGCGTGGCATTTGAGCTTTCTGTCCTTCTTTGCTGAATGAAAGAATTGTTGAAGAATGTCTTGGCTGCGACCTCGCGGTTTTGAGGTCGCGTGGACCTCGTCGAGATAGTTCTTTTGGATGCTGCTGCTGCAGCAACTACAGCTCTGCCAGCAGTCTGACTGGAGTGCACATAGCTTCGCAATGGCAGTGCTGCCCGCGAGACGGTTCTGCTAGTTGCCATTGTCTCCGGTGGCTGTTTTCTCGAAATGAGAGACACTGATGGTGACGCACAAGTGCTGCAATGCAAGACCCCGTTGCAAGATTTTTGAAAGGAATCGTGGAATGGTTGTGATGTTGGTTGGAAAAAGTGCTTGGAAGTGAGCAGGCATACCTAGATAGTGTCTGCTATCCGGTGAGTCGGTTTATCGCGGCTAATCCAAGGCCAGCTTGCAAGCTATTCTCGATCTGGGTTAGCGTGCAGCCTGGGACCTGAGACAAGAATCGAAGCTCTCCCGTCCACTGGGGTAGGTGGAAGTGAAGTCAAACGTACCTGCCTACATACCGTACCTGACCTCACATCCTACAGCAATTGCTCGGCTCTCTCAGCGCCCCAAGAATTGTCGTCTTCAATCATGCCACCGCAGACATACTTCCTCGTCTCGCTTCCTACCTCGATCTCGCCTTCAGACTCCCGCGATGAAGCCCTCACCACATTGCGGTCTGCAGTATCGACAGACCAGGGCACAACATATCCCTTTGCCATTCCCGAATTCAAAATCGGCACACTAGATGCGCTGGTGCAACAGGCGGACGAGCTGGTGAAGCTGGAACAGGGATGCAAGGGCGTGGTGGATAAAGTGGCAGACTCATTACGATCATTGCTCGAGGGGGATGAGGAAAAGCTGCAGGAACAAAAGGTCGTCAATGACAGTGCGTTTCAGCGGCCTAGAGCGGGACTTTGTAGCCAGGACATGTCCAGCTGACGATTGCATACAGAACCTGTCGAGAACTACCTGCAGTCCTTCCAATGGAACAAGGTCAAATACCGCGCCGACAAGCCTATAGCTGAATTGGTGGACAGCCTGCAGAAAGAAGTTGCCGCAATAGACAACGACGTGAAAGCCAAATTCAGCCAGTACAACCAGACCAAGACAAATCTTGCCTCTCTTCAGCGATCGCAGACTGGCAACCTCTCGCAAAAGTCGCTCAATGCCGTGGTGAATCCAGACACACTCCTCAAACCAGACCAGTCCGAATATCTTCAACAGCACCTTGTCGCGGTACCTACTTCGTTTGTCAAGGATTTCCTCAAGACTTACGAGTCAATATCACCTATGGTTGTCCCCAGATCGGCGCAAATCCTAGCAAAAGACGACGAGTTTCAATTATATGTGGTCACAACATTCAAAAAGCACGCGGCCGAGTTCGTACATGCATGCAGAGAACATCGATGGACACCACGTGAGATGAAGTTCACCGACGGCGGGAGGGACGCTGAAGAGGCAGAGCTGCGCAAGCTAGAGAAGGAGGAAAGGAAGACTTGGGGCGAGGCATTGCGGTTGGGTCGCACTGGTTATAGTGATGCTGTTATGGCTTGGATACATGTGCTCACACTGCGAGTGTTTGTCGAAACGGTGCTCAGATATGGCTTGCCGTTGGCATATGTCTGCGGCTTGATCAAGGTACGACCGACCTCCTGTCCACTTCAAACGTCCTACAGTATACTCACATTTAGACAGACCACGCCAAAGTTGGCAAAGAAAGCCAAGCTTGCGCTCGACAATCGCTTCTCAGATCTCGGTGGCAACGCGGTCAGTCGCGATAAGAAAGGCCGACCAAAACAAGACGATAGCTCCATGCAACAGGAATTGGCAGGCGCAGGCCTGGGTGGCGATCAAGGCTTCGAGCCTTATGTCTTCTACGAATTCGAGATCATATAGCGACGTCTCGGGTGATGGACAATCATACCTTAATACGAGGAAATCGAAGAGCTTCACAGCTCTATGCTCTGTAACGCCAAATTCCAAATTTTTTCTGACCCTCTCAGGTGGGTAGGCTATTCTAAGCTATGCGATCGAGATGTCTGTTGCCGAGTGGGATGAAGGCTGCGATCGTTCGCGTAGAATCAGCAGATGCATGCCACACGTTCGACAGGGCAGAACAGAGTCACAAGGCTACAACGTTGTATGCGCCAATCAGCAGCGCGCTTAGAAGATCAACTAGTCTATTCTAAGAATAGCGAATCCTTCTCGCTGTACTTCACGCCGCACATCAGGCGAACAACGCCGCAATACCCTTTACCTAGCTCGGCGCAACACAGGTTCGCCGATGCGTTCCCAGCGGGACACATAACAGGACGACCTATCTCGATGGCGGAGCTCGTTTGCCTGAGGACTGGCGAGCGAAGTGAAGTGCGGCGCTGTGGTCTACCCGGTCGGTGGGCATGCTGCATGCGATGTCTAGCATGAACGACAAACGAGATACCGCCAGATATGTCACTCCCTCATCAGCAGCACGGGTGCCCACGCCGAGTGTGCCGAAGGATTCGAGCAGCCATCATGATGATGATGTGCGCGGCTCGCCTGACACTGATAGAATACCTACCTACCTGAGCTCGGCCGCGAGGGAATGACTGTTCCAAGCTTGCCTCAACTCGACTTGGTCGCATACCGCTATCGACCATGTAACCGCCACGGGCGCCCCTCATTGCCAGCTGAAGGATCGGATCACGAAATAGACTGGTGAGCAGACGACCTTGCTGCCTGCTGCCTTCTGTCTATCCTGGATGCCGACTTGCGGCTGAGAAGTTGGTACCAGCAGCCGCCCGAGACTGACGGACGCTGATCAAGCGCTTTATTGCCTGTCTTTCATTCCTTTGCGCTCTCTTCCATTCTTTTTGTCCATTTGCTTCTGTTTCACCACGCGCTTGCCCACAGTAAGACTCTTTCTCTCCCTCTCTCTTTCTCTCTCTCCTCTCCTTGGATGCAAGATATAACAGAACAGCTTGGCCGAATCCTGCTGCTTGCCACTCACCGGGCTCTGACTCACATTCCCATCCCTGCGCCGCCATCTGCTTCCCGCTCATTGTACTACTTCACAAGATAAACCACTATTGCGTGAGCACGACCTATCAGCAGGATGGCGAACTACTGGGGCGACGAGTCCTTCGACGTCTACGGACGACCGCTCCATCGACGGCCTTCTCCACAACACATGCGCAGCGATAGCACTTACTTGTATCCAGGTGTTGGCGGCGGACTTCACCGAAGCAGATCCACTGGAGCTAAGCCCATGCCAACGATCAACGTCTACAATAAGATGTATCAGGACCATGAGAACAGATCACCATCACCCATGCCTCCATATCCCCAACAGCCGACTCAACAGCCGACTCCACAGCCGCAATATGTTCCTTACCCCCAGTACATTCCGTATCCCGTTGTGGACCATTCGCGACATTCATCTCCGCGTGGATCGCCAGCAGGACGAGGGCGAAGCAGAAGTAGAGGTTTTGCAGAAGGCGTAGACGGGCTACTCTCGGCTGAGCTTGCAGATATGGCGCTCGAGCACCGCTATGGGCGATCACGGTCGCGAGGGCGATCAGATGCGCCGGCATACGACCACTCGCACGCGGGGTATGTCGAAGCTCAGCTGGTAGCGCAAAAGAAGGAGCTGCGACGACTTTCTCAAGAGAGGCAAATGCAGCTGGAGGAGGAAAAGATCCGAAACAAGATCAAGCTCGAGACTCTGGCTGCGGAGGCTAAGCGCGACCGTGAAGAGCGTGAGGCTGAAGAGCGAAAAAAGCGCATTGAAGCAGACTGGGAGCGCAAAATCCGCGTAGATCGCGAGGAAAAGGAAGCTGCCGAGAAGGCGGCAGTGGCAGAATACGAGCGCAAGCAGCGCGAAGCCAAACAAAAGGCAGAAGACGCCGAGCGTGCACTGAAGGAGAAGCTGGAACGTGAAGATCGCGAGCAGAAAGAGAAGGATAAACAGCAGTATGAAGAATTCAAGAGGAGGGAGAAAGAGAAGGAAGAGAAGGAGAAGCGCGAATGGGACGAATTTGAGCGTAAGCGCAAGGAGAAGGAGGAGAAGGAGAAGCAGGAAAAAGCGGCGCAAGAAAAGGGATTCCAAGATGAGATGCGAAACCGCCTCCGAGCACTGGGTTATACCGAACAAACGATTGAAATCATGGTCGACAAGGAGAAGGCGAAAAACTTCCAAGATGAAGTCAAGTCTCGGCCACGCAGCCACGATCGCTGCACCACAATTACACGCATGTCACCTGTGGAATGGCATGCCCCTGTACGAGCTCCCGTCTACCCGAAAGTTCACAAAGACTACATTGAGCTCAAGACGTTGGAATATTACCAGCTCCCCTGGCACTACGATCGCGTAAGTCTCTCTCGCTATCTCTACTCTACTCCCCCCCCCCCC